TCTTAATTTCTTAAAAAATATAGTTAATTAAGGTAAAAACATTATCTGTTAAGTAGTTTATGTCATTCACAAGTAAAATGCATGACAAGACTAGCACAAAGTACAGGAGAGGGGAACGGAGGTGTTATAACATCCCATTTGCACACTATGTATATGTTAAGTGGTACTGTAGTATATAGTGGTAGACTGTGGCAAATTAAAGAATATATTATAAACCCTATAGCAATACTTAAAAAAGAAGTGAGTGATGGGGATAAAATGAAATTATAAAAGTACTCTCTTGATCCAAAAGAAGGCAGGAAAAGAGGAATAAAGAATAGATGGGATAAGCAGAAAACAAATAGGAATATGGAGCTCAGTCAGTCAATGATTATATAAATTGTAAACAGAAATACATTAAAAGGTAGCAATTATCAGAATGGATAAGAAAGCAAGATCAACTATATGCCATCTATAACCCCATATTAAATATAAAGACGTATTATAAGTACATAATATTTGTACATAATATTTGTACTTTTCAGTGAGGTACAATATGATGTTTTGATTTATGCATTCATTAGGTAATACAATTCCATTTCTATTAAATTCTATAAAATGTAAACCATAATTACAGAAAACAGATCAATAGTTGCCTAAAGTGGGAGACAGATGGGAGGAGGGAGGCGGGAGATATGGCAACTGGGCAGGGATAAACTTTTGAGAGTAATGAATATATTCATACTCTTGATTGTGATGATGGTTTCATGGATATATACACATGTCAAAACTTGTCAAATTATTATATGCAGATTATTGTTTACTAATTTTTTTATATTAGAGGAAGTGTGAATAATGAGGAAAAGCAAGAATTAGGCATAAAAGGGATTGGTACTTACTACCATCACCACCACCCTCCCTTCGACAATACTCTATGATCCAGTCCATTTTAAGTCACTTAACATTTTTTATTTTGTCAACAAAAGGCCAGAAATGGGAAACCTCTGGAGAAAATGGAGAAAGAATGACTAAAGTTTTTTAAAAGCTCCCCAAACCCTAATTCCCACCTTTAGTTCCCATTGTCTTTGAGCATCTGGAACCCTTCTAACTTTTTATACTTGAGAAGTTACCCCTTCCATTACCAGGATCTTTTAAATCTGGAGGCTGGCCTGAAACAACAAAGCTGAGCAAGGAGGACTGTGTCATTTTAGTCTAAAAGACAGCAGACACACTTACTAGCTTATAGCAATTAAGGCTTTGAACTTTTGACTAGTGTCAACTCGACTACATTACTCTTTCCACTTCAGGTTCCAAGGATGGTGTAGGCTTCATAGGTTTATCTTGTCTAAGGCTATACATTATACCTCTATTGAGGTTCACTTTAAAATTGGTTTAATATGGGTCTTCTCTGGGAAGCAATTAAAAAATTTTATTTGAAGACTATCAGTATGAATTATATATTTAATTAACCTTTAAGGAATCAATATAAAAACTGTTTATATTAAATGACAAAGCAAAATTTAATTCCCGAGCTATAATGTGTATGTGCTAAGTCTGCAACATAGTCTCATAGACTGAAGCGGGTCCAGACACTGATGGTTGAATGGTTGAAGTGAGGCTGTCATTATTGAACTATTCCTTTAAATGACACATATAAGTGAGATTCATATATTTGTATAATTTCTCCATCCCAACCCTTTCATCTTTGTCAGAGTATTTGATTTTCTTAGGAACAACGCAGCTTGCCTGATGTGTCACCTTACCTGGCTACTAGGATTAACACCTATGTGTATTAATTAATTAACTGACAACCATAGAATTGGGACCAATGGCTTCAGAAATGAACTGTGGATTAGGGCCCCACATACACAATACAATTGGTTACAATGTAATAAAACTAGAATTTAAAACCAAAAATGTACATTAAAACTTCTGAAACAGTAGAAAATGTAAAAGGATAGAATTTAAAAACTATTAGGTCAGGGCTGGGGATTTAGCTCAGTGGTTCCAGTGCCTGCCATGCAAGCGCAAGGTCCTGAGTTTGATCCCCAGTACTGAAAAAAAAAAAAAGGAAAAAAGAAAAAAAGAATTTTTGATACAGACCACCCTGAGTGAACTGCAAATTCATAAACTGGCTTTTCATATGAAAAGTCTGAGCCTGCCTATTAGCCCACAATGGCTTGCCTGAAGAACCAGCAGTTGGTGTGTGGGGCGGATCACACCACTGGTCACAGCGGAGGCCTCAATGATCTGTGACGCTGTGACAACTTGGATGGCAAGACAATAGTACAGCTAAGGGAAGCATGACACATACCGAAAACTCCTATAGAGGCAAAAAGTAGTCCATGGGAAGAAACAAATTTTCCATTGATCTAAGAGCTGCTCTTGCTAGAATGTTTCGTTCCCTTCTTGCTAGGAACCTGCTGGCATCAGTGCTCTCCACTTCACTGCTCCCTGCACTGCCCCTTACCCTTTCTAGAAGTTGGGTGTTCAATAAATAGTGGCAAGCTCCAGGAGACAGATCAGAGCATTGACCATTCTGGGCCCCCATTTATGCATTAAAATCTTGTCTTGTCTTTTTTTAATCCTGCTGCCGTATTCTTGGTCAGGTGATTGGGAGTTTGCACAGCTTCGACTAAATTTTGATCTATTAATAATTATTTGAAATACTTGATGGAAAATCCTTTAACAAAGGATTCATACTAATATAGTATGATTTGGCTACCATTTTGGTAAAGAAAATCAGATAACCATTCCTTAAAATAAAAATAAACCACTGGTAGCCAGGGTATGGTGGTGCACACCTGTAATCCTAGCACTCAGGAGGGAGGATGAGGCAGGAGGATCACTAGGAGTTTGAGGTCAGCCTGGGATACACAGTGAGTTCAAGGCCAATCTGCACTACAAAGTAAGATCCTACCTCCAAAACCCAAAAGTAAATAAACATTGGTACTGCCATTCACAAGGAGACACAGTAAACCCCTTAAGAGGCAAAAAAATTATCTAGCAAGATGCAATGGTGCATGCCTGAAGCCTCAGCTAGTCAGGAGGCTGAGGCAGGAAGATCATGAGTTTGAGGTCAGCCTAGGTGACATAAAAAGACAGTCTCAAAAATAAATAAATAAAAATTGGAAAAAAGAAAAAAGAAAAAAAATTGTAGAATCCAAAGTGGTAAATAAGTATGTTTTAGAACATAAACAAATCAAGTTCCTTGGACAGTAAGTAGCATGCTACCTGGCATGGTTTTCCAGGACACGGAGAGGAGAGGTAGCAAACCGAAGATCCCACATCTGGATCACTGGTAACCTGTCGTCCTCAGAGGCCAGGACCATCTGAGTGGCAACATCAGGATGCCAGGCCAACCCAGAGCAATGCATCTGCAGACAGTGAAGGTTCAGATTTTAGCAATCACATATCTTTACAAAAAACCAAAATAAAATTTCAGGAGTATGCCTTTATTGAGACAAATATTAAAAAATATCAGCCCAGGCTTAGTTTTTTAACCAAAACTTAAAACTATTAGGTTTTATTAAAAGTATTAAATAGTAGTCTTAAAAACTTCCTTCCTACACCTTTCTTCATTCAGAAAACTCAAAAAAAAAATTGTGAACCATCTACATTTTCATATGGATTAAATATCAATATTGAGAACTATCCAGAAGTTCAAATCCCATAAATCATTTCAGAAGTTGAGTAAAATGCTTATTATACAATCATTCTATTGAATTTTGCATTTTAAGACTTCTGATCCATTTGAAATTCAATATTCTGAAGGAATATTCTTTTTTTTTTTTTTTTTTTTTTTTGTCGGGATGGAACTCAGGACCTTTCCACTTTCGAGGCAGGGAGCGGCACCACTGAGCTAAATCCCTGGCTGAAGGAATATTCTTCTAAACAGTTTGCTGTTTTTTAAAAATTACATATGTATTCTAACTCAGGCAACCTTATTTTAGAAAATGTCAACTAGCCAATATAAGTAAAAACAAAGAAAATAAATCTCTAAATTGTTTCTAAATTATTTTACAGTACCAATTACATAAAGAGTTTGTAAGGTTGAGACATAATACGCTCTGTAGTCAAGTCTACTGAGCACATGGGAAGATGTTGGCTCCTTTTGGCAGAGCCTAATCAGGAAGACACAAAGCCAAAAGTTTGGAAACTCCAAGTTCATACTCATACAATTCCCAGCAGGGAAAATTTGTACACTTCTAGGAAAAGCTAAAGATGAATTAAAAAGTTGCTGCAATGCTTGGAAACAGCTAGCCAAGCAAAACCAGTGTATCTCGAAATAAGCCCTTGGATTAGCTAGTTCCTCTCCGAATCAGTAATAGTATTTTTTTTTGTTTTTTTTTTGGTACTGGGGATCGAACTCGGGTCCTTGCGCTTGCACAGCAGGCGGCAAAACTACTGAGCTACATCCCCGGCCCAGTAATAGTATCTAATATGGAGGGGCTGGGGATGTAGCTTAGTGGCACCACACCTGTCTGGCAAGCGCAAGGTCCTGAGTTCAAACCCTGATACCAAAAAAAAAAAAATTAGAAAAATATCTAATATGGTTCACTGGATACTTTATTATTTTCCTGAGTGAGGGGAAAAGCTATTCATTCCAACATGACTGATAAATGAAGACAAGATTTGACATTACGAAAACTTGATTTGTTGGCAATTCTGATGGATAATACAAGAATACCTACAGCAGAAACACATATTCATCACAAATCAATCATATACTTACTCTGTTACTATGATCACTGACTTTGATGATTGGTTCATTTTTTCTAAGATCCCATACAGTGGCCCGTCCACTGGGACTGGCTGATGCTAAAATATGCTGAACTTGTCTGTTCCATGCAATGCAGCTGATATCTTCTGGGGGCTATAAGGAATAACCTATTAAAAACCATTTCCTTATTATGGTCAAACTTAATTATAAAATCAAATGCTTCATACTTTTAAAATGAATTAAAAACCTGATCTATCCATTGCACAACTTTCCTTTGTATTCCTCCATTCTAAACACCTATGACATACTTAAAACACAGGTACATGGCACTTCAAGTATTTTATGTTTTTAATGAGAAACTCAAGAGAGCAAGGAAAGACTGTTCTTACCCAACTTACTGGAAATACATAGAAAAAGTATATTTTTAAATAAAGTTGGATGCTGTTAGAATACTTTATCACATGGTAAGAAAAAATAATACTGTATCTAAAAGAATTAAAGATTTTTGTCTATTTTGCTTACTACTCTCTGCCCAATACAATCAACAGTGTCTAGCAGGCGCTAAGCACTGAATAAATATTTACTATAGAATGCCTCACTCACACTTTGAAGAAACATGTTTATTAACCCTTCATTCTCTTGAAGGAAAATCAATGATGTCTAAAGAATGATTTGTGTGAAAAACTTAAAACTGAAATATAAAAGTTTATAAGAACTACTTTTGGTTGCTTTGATTATACTGACCAAAATCAACATAATACCTGTGTTTTGGCTCCTGGTGTCATTGGAGTCACAAAATTGTTTAGATCCCAAATGTAGATTTCAGATTCATTAGCACCAGAGGCTACCAGATTAGTCTGCAATATGAAATAATTAATAACTAGTATTTATGAATAATTAAGGGAACACAGTTCAGAGCTAGTAAGATGTTGGTTTGGGTGGGACATACAATTTTTCTATTTAAAAAAGCAAAACATATGCGTGAGATCTTTATGCATAATTTTTAAAATTGCTTTTTAAAGAAAAACATTGTAAAACTATTTAAAAAATAAATCTACTCAAAAGAATACTAATTTTAATGCCAGACATTACCCAAAAAAAGAACAATTTTGTGAATCAAATTCTTAATCATTCTTGTAACCATGAAGATATTATTGTTTGTATATTTGCATTTCTGGAAGGAAATATGATTGTGTGAGACAATGATCACTGATCACTGCTTTCAGAAATAGCCAAAATCCTCAAATTATGGCACTGTTCTCATAGTACCTTAAAGCCAGCCTCCAGAGCTATATGAGTATAAGACAGGTAAAATATCTTGTGTTAAATCTTCATGTAGTTTTAGTTCATGTATATCCAATCTTATTCCAGATGGCAATATTTCTATGTTATTTCTACAACACAGCTTTAGGGTCTAATGACCCTTAAAAAAGTGTGATATAAAACACAAGACAATGGGCTTCATATATATACATATATATATACACACACACACACACACACATATACCCCCCCCCCCAGTACCTGTGATCGAACTCAGGACCTTGCACTTGCCAGGCAGGCATGGCGCCACTGAGCTAAATCCCTGGCCCTGAGCTTCATATATTGACTTTCACCCACTATTATTTACTCTCATAACTTCTTATCTGATCAACTGGCATATTAACTATAAAAACAGAAAAATTCTATGGTAAATAACTACCTATAAGATATTTTTATCAAAAATGAGCAGGTTTTTAATACAAGTAATGAATTAGCTATCCAGTTAATCTAAAGAACAGACACCACAAACTGTAGAAATGAAGTTTCTGTATTTCTATACCTTAAGTGGTTTTTTTTGGGGGGGGGTACTGGGGATCAAACTCAGGACTCTGCACTTGTGAGGCAGACATGGAACCACTGAGCTAATCCCCAGCCCCCTAAGTGTTTTTAATACATGAAAATTTATTTATCCAGGTGTAATGGTGCATGCCTATAATCCCAACTATTTGAGAGACTGAGGAAGGAGGACTGCAAGTTCAAGGCAAGCCTGGGCAACTTGGTGAGAGTCTGTCTCAAAATAAAAAAACAAAAAGGTCTGGGGATGTAGCATATCATTCCTTGCATTCAACTGCCAGTATGAGAGAAGAAATTATTTAAATTTTTTTAATATTCATTTTTTGATGATTATATTTAGTATCCTATTAACTCAAGATCTTTATTAACCTATACACTTACATAATTAATATTCAATAATGTTTATAAGGCAACAGATTTCTTTTTTTTTTCAGTACTGGAATTTGAAACTAGGGGCATTCCATTACTGAGCTATACCCCACATCCCTTTTTAAAAATATTTTAAATTTGAAATAAGGTCTTGCTAGCTAAGTTGCCCAGGCTGGGCTCAAACTTGTAATCCTTCTGCCTCAGTCTCCCCAAGTGCTAGGATTACAGTTGTACCTTCATTAATGACCTATTTGGTAAATCTGCATTATTTCTCTAATTCCTAATTATTTCAGAGTAGTCATCTATCATAAATACAAAATTTCTCAGTTAATAAGATGTGACACCATAGTACCACCTAATCCTGTCTTAGCACAAACTTTTAAAAGGCAAAGCTTCCAATTTCAGCAGCTCCCGTTTAAAAAAATGTCCAGTTGGATGCTCTGACAGACTCTTCTGGACTGCCAGAAATAAATCTATTGCCTTATCCTCTCCATGGGTTAGTATAATTTACCCTCATATAAACTCTGAACCCACCAGTCTTAAATACATTGTCATCAACCTATAGAAGCATACATTTTTTCAGCTTTCAATTCCAAGACTAAGACATTAGATTCATAAACTTATTTCAAATGAGCAGCATGTATTTTAACAATTATGATTGTATGTCAAATGAATGTCAAAGTCAAACCTGGAAAATGTTCACATCCAAGGCTCTAACTGGACCAGTATGCTTGTCGTTCTGGGCAATTACAACTTCCTTGTCTCCAGCTAAAATTTTAGAAGGATCATAAAGAATAATGTTTCCATTTTCACCACCTGCAATCAGAACTCCAGAGACATCTCCTTTGGAATCCATCTTATGAGGTCCCCAAATCAATTTGTGGTACCTTTAGGAAAAAATGAAGTCCAATAAATGTAGAAAAGAATTTAAAATTATACATTTAATTATTAATGTCTTTATAAGTACTATGAAAACACTGTTTCTCATCCACACCTGTTAACTGTTTGACTTTGGTGAAATGACATTTCATTTTTTACTTATACTAGTATTTACATGAGTTTATAATCTTCAACAAGTAAAAATTTTTGTGGTGTAATACAGTACAGCAAAGTTTATGAGTCTGAGTTGTAGGTCAAAAGATAGGGCTCGAAAACAGTTTCACTACTTAGATAATGTGAGACCCTGTGTAAACTACTTAGGTCTTCCTAAAATGCCTTAGATTGTTCTGTAAAACAGCTAAGTAACCTCTTTGAAAAATAATACCTTCTATTTGACTACTCAAGTGGTCACTAACAGGATGTCTATTGAAAAGTGAAGGTGTTAAGAGAATTAGTTGAAATTTTCCAAGAAAAATAATATAATAGGACAGAAGAAAGGTCATCAAAATTATGTCTACTATCTCTGGTGGAAAATAAAAGCTCATAGAGAAAAAATATGAACATGGCATTGAGGCATAGGGTGAGAGATGGTGGCGAGACAAAGACAACCAGGGTTACTCCCATCACAATGGAAGGGCCCTGCAGGGCACAAGAGGGCCTGCGAAACCCTATGAGTGGGGCTGTCTTCTGGCAGCCAAAGACGATTTCTTCAAATCCTGCTAAAACAGTGAGGCAAGGAAATTTCTCTTGTTACTCAAATGAAAGCATCCTTTCTCTGCATTAGAACAGAACATTAGGACTTGAAAACGTGATCCAAATAGTGCATCAGAAATCATGTCAACAAAATTCTCTGTGAAATATATTTCTAAATATAGGTAAGTACAAAGAAGAAAATAAAAATAATCTGGCATTCAGAGATGATCACTATTAATATAGTGATTAATATAACCACTTCTTTTTGTAGTCACTACTGCCTGTTTTACAGAGGTGAGATAATGGAAATAGAAAAAAAAAACAAAACTCCACTAATACTACGAGAAAAAAACCTAGAAACTAGAGCCTCTCTTGCACACTACACGACTGTCAGCAATAAAAGAATCAACACATGTAAACACTTTAATTTTCACAAAAATGCAGTTACATATTTTTTCACAAAACATCTCATGTCACTGATACTCTTCACAGTTTCTAACAATGACATATCTGCACACAAAGTAGGCATCAATCCCCAACGTATAACTAAATAATCACATGAATTTAAGACTGAACTTCATACCTTTGAGAAGAAGAGAAAGTAGCACAAGATTTCATATCCAAGGATGGATCAGAAAGGTCTAATTCAAACACCTCAAGGGAAGCACTGGTACTAAATGTTGCATCCAATTGCTGAGCAGATGTTCCTAAGGAGAATACATTCATGGTAACTACACATGCAAAAATAAATGACTGAGGGAAATGGCAAATGGAAATTCAAAGCATGGCTTTCAATTATCTTGCTCATGAATGCTGGGTAAGTAGCTGAAATTTCAGCATATATGCCATTGAGCAGATGTTTAAATTACTATAGCAATGAGATTTTGGCACAAGGCTGGGATATGATGTTTGTAAGAAAGAGTAGAAGTACAGATAATTTTTTTAAGCCTGCAGATATTTTAAAAGCTGTCTGTAAAAACAGTTCCATGACTTACTCTACCTGCAAATAGTCAGACATGATGAAATTCTTGTTTACATAAAACTACTTGCAACAGAATTGCTCTTCATTCACTCCAACTGTTTTTCACATGTCTTTTACTTCCACAAAATGATAATATTCCTTACAGTTTCTAATAATGACATAGCTAATACTATTAAGCACTGACTGTGTTTAATACTAGAAGACTAAAGATAAACACAACCCCTACACAGTGGGAAAGAGAATGTACATGTAACACATCATCATGGTCAGTGTTCTGATGTACAAGGTTCTAGGGAAGCTCATCCAACGCAGTGATGGGTAGATGGAGGTATCTTACAAGGGATAGTGAGCTTTCCAGAGACAAAGCTGGAAATGAACCTTAAAAGACATGTATGGATTAGCTGGATGTAGACAAGAAGAATTAGGTTACTCACACCATCTTTTCTCTTTTGAACTAACCTGTGGCCAGGTAAATAGGGTGGTTCTGGGCAGGGCTCCATGCCTGCATGGCAGTACGATCTACTTCCTTTAACTTCATCCTGCTAAATAGGATAGTTTACACATAAATATACTGAACATGGAACACGGCATATGGAAACATTTTACATAGAAACATGTACTGTCCAAGTGCCAATAATTCAAATTGGTTTAGGTATCATTTGTTGGAAATGGTCAAAAGCATAAGACAAGCTTATGAAATTATTTTAAGATAAACACTGGGGTACACTAATTTTCCACAGATTATTCAGGTTGAATTCCCTTTATATAAAATGGGGCCATGAGTGTCTCAGATTTCAGAGTTGTTTTGATTTTGGAATATCTCCATAGACTTTACTTGGTAATTATCTCTAACGTGGAAATATGAAATCTGAAAATGCTCCCAAATCTAAAACTCTTTTCAGATTTTTGGATTAGGGATGCTCAACCTATAGACCAGTGATAGTAAACCTTTCAAAGTTTTTAATGATACAAACAGCCCGCTGTGGCATGCATGCCATATGTTTGCCACATGACTATAGAGCTTCAGCTGAAAAATCAGCCAGGAAAAATATCCCACAAAAGCATTACAGGGTAGTATCTGAGGAATTATCTTTGCTACACATGTACTTTTCAAACAAGGATGGGTGACAGTGTACCAAGCCAAACAAACAAGAGGCATCTGTCTGATTACTGGATTCTGGTTACTCAATAAGACAAGTCTTAAAGTTTAATTTTTTTTTTTTTGAGACAAAATCTCGCTATGCAGTTTAGGCTGGCCTTGTACTCTCAGCAATCCTCCTACCTCAGTCTCCCAAGTGCTAGGCTTATAGTCATGTGCCACCATGCCTGGCCTAAAAATTAATTTTAAATTAAAACATTTCCTACAAAGAATAGCTGGGCATGGTGGGACAGGCCTGTAACCTCAGTACTTGGAAGACTGAGGCAGGAGGATTGAGATATCAAGGCCAGCCTAAGCTACAGAGTAAGAACATCTCAAAAAACAAAAGCAAAAATAATATAGGAAGACCACAGATTTTAAAGCAAAAATTTTTAGAAAATTAGTTAAAACTTTATACTGTAGGGCTGGGGATTTAGCTCAGTGGTTCTGCCACCTGCCTCACAAGCACAAGGTCCCGAGTTCAATCCCCGGTACCAAAAAAACCAAAAAAACAAAAAACAAAAAAAACCTTTATATTGTACATATTACTTGTTTATATACTATCAGTTACTGAAAAAAATTCAGAAAATATGGTACTACAAATTTTTTCAAATCTGTTAATTTTACATATTTTCAAATGGCACAGTACATCATTGTAAGATAAGTCATAATTTAATTATTACCTAAATACTGATGACACCTGAGCTATATTTTGCTATTTTTACAAACAGGGCTGAAATAAATGACCATATATACAGGTTATTTCATTCATGGACAGGGATAGTCATAAATTTTCAGAAATAAAATTGCTAAATTAAAGGATAAATGCAATTTTACTTTTTTTTTTTTTTTTCGGTACCAGGGATCGAACTCGGAACCTTCCGCTTTTGAGGCAGGCGGCAGAACCACTGAGCTAAATCCCCGGCCCTGCAATTTTACTTTTGATGTCTACTGCCAAGTTGCTCTCTACAACAAATGAACCTTCTCTTATTCTCAAAGTAATATATGATTACCTGATGCCCTACAGCCTTACTAGAATGGACTGTTACACTTTTAGGGTTTTTAGGTATGTGTATGTGTTACTGGGGATTGAACCCAGGGCCTTTGCACTCAGTACATTCCAAGGCCTTTTTATTTATTTTGAGACAGGGTCTCACTAAATTGCTAAATTACCAGGATGGGTTTGAAGTTAATGATTCTCTTGCCTCAGTCTTCAAGTGTTAGGATTATAGGCGTGTGCTACTTTGCCCAGTGATCTTTACCAACATAATAGGTAAGAAATGTGAGATCTGTATAGTTTTAACTTCTATTCTTCATTCTACAAATGATGTATAGTACCTCTCTTTATGATTATGGGTCCTTTACACTGTCCTTCCTGTTACATTTTCTGTTTATGCAATCATTTGGCCATTTTTCTTGTTCTTTGTTGTTTTGTGTGAATGCACACTAGGGAATTGAACCAAGGCCTTGAACTACCACTGAGCTACATTCCCAGCTCACTTTCCTTATCAGACTGTCAAATAATCTTTTAACTTTGCTTATGTATTTTAACCTTTCAGAAAATTTGATTTTTTTTTTTTGAGACAAGGTCTCACCATATAGTTCAAGCTGGTCTTTTTTTTTTTTCAAGCTGGTCTTGAACTCACTATGTAGTCCAGGATGGCCTCGAACTCCCAGTGATCCTCCTGCCTCAGCTCCCGGGTGCTTGGATTACAGGTGTGTACCACCACAACCAGCTAAATTTTAATATTTTAAACATAAGCTTTACTTTTTACAGCAGCTTTAGGTTCACAGAAAAACTGAGTGAGAAATACATACAGCTGCCCTCTCCCTTCACTCAGGCTGCCCCACCTGCCACCAACATCTCAGTACACCTGTTTCAGTCCACAAACCAACAGTGGCATCACTACCACCCAAAGCTCACACTGAACATCCCAGTTCACACTTGAGGGGCTGTACACTCTGGATTTCTGACAAACATGTAATGACTTCTGTCCATCATGATAGTGTCATTCACAGTAGTTTCTCTACTCTAAAGTCTCCTGTGCTCTGCCTGTTAAGTCCTCCCTCTGCCCCTCTCTATAAGCGGATCCTACATAGTAAGTTGTTATGGACTGCCTATGGAATCTAAAAAGGCAAACTGTTTCTCAGGGTTCAGGGTACAATCTTTATTATCTAAACTATTTCTGTTTTCTATATATTTTTCATCTTCTTAATCTATCTTGAACCAGACCAGTGAATTAAAATCTAGCCAGGTGTGGTGGCACACACCTGTAATTACAGCTACTTGGAAGGCTGAGGCAGGAGGATCGGAAGTAAGTTCAAGGCCAGCTTGGGCAACTTAGTGAGACCCTGACTCAAAGTGGAAAAAAAAAAAAAAAAAAAGACTGGAGATATAACTTTAGTGTGAAAGCCCTGTGTTCTATCCCCAATAACAACAAACCAGTTTCCTACTACTCAGGCACTATGTGTCTTCTGGTATCTACTGAAATTTCTACAGTATGAAAGTTACCTTGTTGTTTATGATTTACCACATAGTTATTTAGCACATATTCATCATGTTAAATATTCACTGTCAAATGCATAGGTTAGCTTTTGAAGTAACTTTCTCTCAAATAATGCCACCTTAAGACCAATATTTTCTTTTTATTTGCCTTTCAGGAGGTATTGTGTACTCTTGTCCTTTTTAACTTCTGAACCACTTTATTTTCACTAGCTGTACTAAATACAGTAAAAATCAGATTTTGCTTTGTGATTCAATCTGAAATCTTTGTAGCAGGTTAGCGAATCACTTAAAGTGTACTGATATGAAAGATACCTTCTTGGTCCTAGTCTATCACATTACATTTTGCTGTCTGGTTTGTTTTTGAGGCAGGTTCCCACTCTGCAGTCAGGCTGTGGCCTGTTTAGCACAAGTTGGCTTCAAATTCATTTCTCCTGCCTCAGGCTTCCAAGTGCTGGGATTACATGCATGAGACACAAAGCTTGGCTCTGGCTTAATAATTTTTAAAACATGTCTTTTTCTGGGGCCGGGGATTTAGCTGGTTCCGCAACCTGCCTTGCAAGCGCAAGGTCCTGAGTTCAATCCCTGGTACCAAAACAAAAAAAGATGTCTTTTGCTGTTATTCACTGTCTTTCTGTGTAGTTATCATGATTTAGCTCAGTGGTTCCGCAACCTGCCTCGCAAGCGCAAGGTCCTGAGTTCAATCCCTGGTACCAAAACAAAAAATGTCTTTTGCTGTTATTCACTGTCTTTCTGTGTAGTTATCATTCTCCAAAAAATTCAGATGCTTGACATTTTTGTTCTAATATGTATTTCTGGTTCTATCTTTCCAACTATAATTTTAAATAATTTTCTTTAATATCATTAATCCTCTATTTCTTTACACAGCCACTACTGACACCCAACTAGGCACTCTCATGAAATTGGCTCATATAACCCAACTGCCCCATCACACTGCACAATGACAGTCCATAGCACTCTCTTTCCCTTTGCACTGCTAAATAAGCTTCTACTTCTGCTACCTGATTTGTCAGCTCAAAGGATGTCCTTTGACTCCCAGCTATTACAGATGAGACAATCAAAAAACTTCTACCTCCAATTGCTTTTGTTTCCACTTTCCTTTTTATTAATTGTATAACCAAATTCCTACATTATTGGGGATTTATACATTATCATTTCTTACTAAAATCCACTTCTGTATTATTCTCAGGGATATAGTTAATTATATTCCAGGTTTTCCAACAGTACTGTCAGTTTCCCTATTCATCAGTAGAGGATAAAGTGCATCCTTAACCCATTCCCTAGGAGGGCCTTAGACTAACACATCTTAAGTCTTATATAGTCAAGCTGTTTCTACTTGGAAGTTTTACAGATGACACAGTCTGAAAGAAAGACAATCTGTACATGACAGCATGAGTCAAAGCCAAGATTCAAACTCAGAAGTTTAGATCCAAAGTCCAAGCTATTAGTTGTTATTCCCAATGAGTTTAGGTATTTAATTTTGATCATTAAAAATTAACATTAGAAGAAATAATTAATGGCAGTCAACTGCCATGCATAATGAAATTAAGAGGAAAGAAATACATTTTATATATATATAGTTGTTTTGAGACAGTCTCCCTATGTAGTTTAGGCTGGCCTTGAACATATTGCATAGCCCAGATGGGCCTTGAACTCCCTCAGCTTCCCAAGGGCTAGGATTACAGGTGTGCACTACCTGACAAGAAATGCAATTTTAAAACTGTGTTAGGTTAGGGGAAAGCAGGGTTAGGAGGCTCTATTACAGGGTTAAAATCATGATCTCGGGAGTCAATGCTCATCTTTACTACGGGCTCTGCTACTTGTTAGATATGACAACCTGGACCAGTTATTTAACTTCTCTGAGTTCTAGTTTCCACATTTGTAAAATGAGGATAAGTAGCTACCTCATGGGATGGTGTGAGATTTAAATGAGATAATTTATTTTATAAAGAGCCAAACAATGTACCTAGGAAGGGGTAAGTTTGTTTTTTAGGTTTTTTTGAGACAGGGTCGCAATATGTAGTTCAGGCTGGCCTTGAACTCATGTAGCCCAGGCTTGTCTCAAACGTGCTGTGATCCTCTTGTCTCAGCCTTCCCAGTGCTGGGATTACAGGTGTGCACCATCATGCCTGGCAAGTGTTCTGATATGCTAGGTATTTTAAGAAATTATTGCTAGCACAGTACACTGTTACACACCTGTAATCCCAACACTTAAGGAGGCTAACCTTAAGTTCAAAGCCAGTCTGACCTACATGAGACCTTGTCTGAAAAAAAAAAGAAAAAGAAAATTATTTGCCAGGAGTGGTGGCGCATGCCTATAATCCCAGCACTGGGGAGGCTGAGGCAGGAAGACTGCTACAAATTCAGGGCCAGCTTGGGCTACATTGTGAGTTCAGAGCCAGCCTGAATTACACAGGAAGATTTTGTCAAAAAAAAAAAAAAAAAAAAAGGATTGCTATACTGAGATTGAGAAAACTTCACATCTAAGATTATTGGGGGGGGGGCTCTAATTTTCTAAAAAGTGAAAAAGGGGTCTATTTTCTTCTTATAAATGCCCTCTTCTTCCCCTCAGGCAACTGTGTGACTTAATCTTTAATAGTAAATTCAAGCTCCAGCTTATTCATATAAACTGCCCAGGTGATCCAATGCACAGATTTAAGTAAGCTATTAACTATTCACATTGGTCAGTATCACACTTCAGGCATGTTATAGTAAACAGCTATTCTGCTTAACTAGATACTTTAAAACATCCTATTATCATATAGTGTTATATATATATTTTTCCAATTATTTTTTATAAACTATTTTATGTGCCACCTTGTCTTTTTTTCTTTTTGTTGCAGTACTGGGGATCGAACTCAGGACCTTGCACTTTGAAGGCAGGCGGAGTGTCACTGAGCTAAATCCCCAGCCCCACCTTTTCAAGTTTTAATCAGGTGAGGTGTTACAATCTTTACCCCTCTGGATTCAAAACTGCATGGCATGAGGTTTTGTTTCATTTTGAATGCTTCTATTTAAGGGCATACAAATGCACTGGTAAGAGCCAGGCATGGTGACCCATGCCTCTAATTCTAGCACTCAGGAGGCTGAGGCAGGAGGATAATAACAAGTTCGAGGCCAGTCTGAACTACAAGGCCAGATCCTCTCTCAAGAAAAAAAAAAAACCCAAAAAACTACACACTGATAAGCTAGAATGACCAGCTCCAGATAAACTATTTAATTTTAAATTTCTTAACTGTGTAGAGAATCTATTCATATTTTTAAAACAGGAAAAGTACTGTTAGGGGGAAAAAAAGATCCTAAGATGATTTTGTAATAACTTCTAAAAGTAAAAAACCAAATAGTCATGTTAAGAAACCTGACTAGAATTACAGTATCTCTAGTAGCAAAGGTTCAAGGGCTACCTAAACCTTGAATCCTTAGTTAATGTGTAACAGAGAGCCAAAATAACCTATGATGGTTAAGTGGGAATTCACAGAAGTTTCTTAGCCCTCTAGAACTCAATGTTCCACTGGAAGCAGCACCAACCACTCATTAACCTGTACTGAATACTGCGGACAAGGCTTCAATGCCATCTGTATAAAAAGAAAAACAATACTATATGATATATACAAACTATGTAACAGTACAGGCATAGATGGCTTAGAACTATGTAAGAATGTTTGAATCTAAATAAGAATATCATAATCTACCTACTGCAATCATTCTCAAAGTAAGAACACTATGGACAGCTTTATGTACAGCTACAGGTTCATGTGTATTCCATCTCTTAGAAATGATTGTTCATCTAATTGTAAATGATTTTTCTTGAAAATACGAAGAGGACTTTAGATGAAACTATATTTTCCAAGTAAGACTTGCTTTAAAAGCTTTGTATAGGGGCCGGGGATTTAGCTCAGTGGTGCCACTGCTTGCCTCACAACTGCAAGGTCCTGAGTTTGATCCCCAGTACCAAAAAAAAAAAGCTTTGTATAATTTTTTCAATACTATGTGTAATTAGAACTCATACTATACATACTTTTCATCAAAGTCTACTTTACAAAGAACATAATAATTATAAAATAGAGAAAGAAAATTGTAGGGCCAGTGTCTTGTTCATATATACCATCTGCCAGACAATGCCTTGAATGGTTAAGAGCATGTGGTCTGAAGCAGATGCCTTAGGTTGAAATACCCACTACATTATGTCCCAGCTCTGACCTTGGTGACCTGACTACCTATTCATGTCTTGGCCCCTCAGTAGAGTAAGGACAATAACAGTGTTGGTGCCAAGTGTTGTTGTGAGAATTAAATGAGGCAGTTGTGTTCAGAACAGTGCCTGACACTGAGTAAATAAATGCTCATAAATGACACCTACTACAAAAGTGAATTTAAAATGTCTATCCCAATGAAACTTCAAGAACACATCTGAAGAAAATTTATATTCTAGACTAAAACTCTATCTTTATTCAACATTCTGTCTACAATTGCATTCAGTTGTAAGCTTTGTCTTTCTGTTCATTTTCAAACTACAAATTCTGGGAAGCAATACTACACTCCAACAATATTATTCTTTGAAAAACACCAACCTTAAAATGCTATCTATAGAAGTGACCCACACCTCAGAAAGTGAAGAGAGAACAGGTAAAGGCCTCTGCCCCTTTGACTCCCAAACTAGGAATACAAACCTTACTGGCACTGCCTGTAGTACAAATCCATTTCGCATGGGCAAAATATCTCTCCTTAAGGATGCGAACATCTGTTCTACGGGATTTACTTTGAATTATCAATGTTCTAGGCTCATTTCCCTCAACCAGAGCCAAATCAAAGAAACTGTCTCCAGGATAAGTTTTTGAAGCTGAGCTCAGTGGCACAGGCCTGACCCAGTACTCTGGGAGACTGATGAGGGAGGACCACAAACTCAAGTCCAGCCCGGGCAATTTAGTGACTTAGCAAGATGGTGTCTTTAAAAACAAACAAGCAAATAAACAAAAAAAGGGCAGGAGATGGATGCAGCTCAGTACAAAGGGTTGAATCCCCAGTATGAACGGGGGGGGGGGGGGGGCAACTAAAAAACTTTTTGAGCTGAAATTAACCTATGTAAGAATGACATTTCTAAAAACAATATAAAGATCAATTTAGTAATATTTTACAAGCTGTTAATTTCAGATTGTACACTGAATGAAATTACAAAGAAAATCCTTCGTATCTGCATGTGTGTATTTTGGAGAAGATGATTCAATGCTTACCCAAAAAGGAATGGAATCTCAAGTGGTTGATAATAGCTGCTCTTTATAAATTTCTTTCTATTCTTATACGCTAAGTTTCACAAAAGAACCTGCATACACAAAATTAAGCAGTATAATTTCAAATTCATCTCAAATTTCACCTTTCCCAAATAACCATGAATGTAACATAAATTCACAACTATAAGAACACTTCAAGTCACCCAAAGTTTTTACAGCCTACAAATCTTTCCAGAACTGTAATTAAAGAATAATGAGAAACAAGGAGCGCAGAACAACGGCTTAAAAAAAATTTAGCCAACTCTTGAAAAATCTGGATCTAAGGAAAAAGAGGACACTGTGATACAAGGACTCTAGTTGTCGATTAGAGTTGCAATTGCAGGCAAAGAAAACCAAATTTCAGTTTTCTGTAGTTAGAAAGCTAATTGTAGGAGGGTTTGCCACAGAAAATCTCATCGTTGCAACTTCCGCAAGACACGTAAAATTTCTTTACGCTCACAGAGAAGTGTATAACGCCGAATCCACACAATATTTTGACTTATTTTACAACTGCCCTACAATTTAACTTTCTTTCACAACTTATTAGCTAAATCATATAATATTTGAGAGTCCTTCGAAGTACAGACTGCGACTGGCGACCACTGTCCCTAATAATCCAATCCCAGGTAAACGATAGTAGCCTTCCGTTCAAATCTATGGAACCTGAAATTTGGCAAGAGTCAAAACAAACAAAAATTCCCAAGCGAACTGACCCGGACGAGTAATCTCGAACGCTTCCCCTCCTCCCGGGACGACCGCACCTCTCCGAGCACCGAGCTGAAGATGTAAGGTGGCCCGGCGCCGCGACCGGGCCTCAGGCTGGCAGGGCGGCAGAAACACAGGCCAGGCTCCGGCAAGGATCGGAGCTCCGCCTCCGGGCCCGACAGCAGGCGGACAGTTCTGGTGGATGCACCCGACGGGGACCCCCCGGCTGCCGGGTCTCCCTACAGTGCCACGGCACTCCGGGACTCAAAGCCGCTCCTATTGCACCCGGAGCCACCTCCGCGCTCCAACGTGGCAGCCGCAGACCCGCCCCACCGTCCGCCGCTTCGTCCGCCGCTTCCGGGCGGGTGCCTCGCCCCGCCCACGGTCCCACGCACTTCCGGGAGCGGCGAGTTGTGTCGCAGTGCCGGGCTGAGCGGCCCTCCGGAGGAGGCAGAGTCGCCTGGGCGGTGCCGCTGGACCAAAGGAGGCAAGGCCGTGACCCGCGTGAGCGACGCCACGTAGCAGCACTTACCCTGACAGACGCCAGGCGGCCCGCGGGAAACTCCGAGCCGCCAGGGAGACGGCAGGGGGTAATCGAGCTCTTTAAACTGCTTCCGTAGTTTGGCGTATTGAGAACTTCTGTGACATCAAAGGCTATTGCAGACACACTTGATAAACGAGGTGCTCTTGTAGATCGACCACTTAAGTTATCTACAACTATGACCCAACCATCTCTTCCCTAAAACCTTTCTTTCCTAGCCACCTTAACTGCAAGTAATGTTTCTTTACACAAAAATAAAATATATGGCCAGACTCCTAAGTACTGAAGTAGAAAGATTTCTGTACTCAAAATTTCCCAATACTCTTTCTGGTCATACATGCATGGTTCAGTTTAAACAGCAAGTTTATTTCTATAGATTTGAAAGAGACAGTCGGTTCAAGCAAATTACAGTGGATAATTGCTAGTGCGTTCTAAAACGCTTTGGGAGCAACGCTGACACTTACGTAAAATAATTTGGGGTCCCCTGTTAGACAATCTTGACCTTTTCGGCTTGTCTTTACATATGTAAGTAGTCTTTCACGTTTAGTGGCTAAGAGGATCTAGAATGTAGATGCCTTGTCCAGACATCTGAAACAAAGAACTAAACGCTCAGTCTGTGCATTTTTCATTTGAGGTTTAATTCAATTTTAATGCTTTTTAGCAGAGGGTGAAAAAGGGTTTCTTGTGGCTCCAGGCATTTTGATTAGGATTACTGTAAACTGTGAAAGGTGAATGATACATTCCTATATTGTGTGTATCTTTCATGCTTGACGCATAAAATATTCACCTTAAATGGATAAAACTTTCTTCCCATTTTATGTGTGCAAGATTAGTTTACCTATAAACTAGGTGCCAATAAAACACTGATTTAAAAGGGGGTGTGCATCATTTGACTAGAGATGTTAAACTGAACTCTTCCTACCGTCCATCCCAAATACTCCCTGGTACTTGGAAGCAGTACACAGATCTGGAAGATTCCTTAGGGCCGCAGGGAGTGGTGGTGCGTTTCTGTAGTACCAGCTGAAGGCTGAGGCAAAAGGTTTGAGGCTGGCCTGAATTACATGGCTTTAGCCCAGAAGGGCAAAGACCTTCAACTCTCCCCCCACCACAATAATTTAAACAAATCAGCAAACTCCACACCTCCCAACCCCCAGGGCCTGTGAATAAATGATTGGGGGAAAAAACTGAAAAGAAAAACTGAAATTCAAATTTGTGTCCCTAAATAAAATTTTATTGGAACACATTCACATTCAGTGGTTATTTACTGTCTGCTTTGGCTATGAAAGCCAAACTGATTAGCTGCACCAGAGATCATATGGCCTTCAAAGGGCCCTTTACAGGAAAAATCTGTCAATCTCAATAATTTTTGGCCTACAATTTAAGTCCAAATATGAGAAATTCAGTATTAAATTTTTATTTCAAAGCTTTGATATAGCAGCATACAAGAATATGAAAAGTAACGATTACCAAACACATTTGTCGATCTGACCTGTTTGAATAATAAGGTTCTCTAGCTTGTACTGGCTTTGACCATGGAAGCTGAAGCTACATTACAATCTTAACCTATGAGGAAATGTGGGATTCATGGACCTTAAAGTTTGTCAAAACTAGCCACAGTGGTGCTGCATACCTTTTAATTCGTTACTAAGGAGGATCACAAGTTCAGGGACAGCCTAGGCAAATTAGCGAGACCTTCTCTAAACATAAAAAATAAAGGGTTGGGGATGTAACTTAGTGGTAGAGTTCCCAATTTGAGTCCCAATTGGGGCTGGGGGGGAGATTCCAGTCAAAAATGTAACTCTTGCTGTTGTTAAAAAGAAATCTAGCTTTGTAATAACACAAGGCTAGTATTTTTAGTATGCTGTAATTTAAAATATTAGAAACACTGAAAATTTTATCCATACTCGTTCATCATTCAAGTGGCTTGAACTGGACCTACCTTCCTGTTGTATTACTTAAAATAGGGAGTGTCATTTCTATACTGTGGCGATTGTCCTACTCCTAAATTTGGATCAGCTACCAAAATTTTATCCTTTGCACTTTTACTGTCTTGAAATTAACTGAGTTCTTTTAATGTGAAGGCTTTTGCTAGCATCTCTTCCTCTGAGGCAGTCATCTTTTATGTTGGAAAGCCTTCTCATGCCAGTAGGTTTGCCTTCACTAAGCTCTGGCTGTACAATTGCCTCTTATGTAGCAGCAGTCCTAAAACCCCAAGTCAACTCTATTTTGGTACCACTGATCTGAACCCTGCTTGTTTTTTGCAGTTGGGTCTTACCCTGCTGTGCAATCCAAGGACACTGTTATCTTACAATATGGATGCCAATTTCACAGTATCATCTTCATCTAAGCTTGCTGTTTCAAACAGCTTCACATCAACCAATTCATGGTGCCTTTTGAAAGGATGAAACCAACTTTTACTTGAAGCATAATGTTCATTTTCAGTTTCTTTGTAATTAGCACTTTCTTCTAATGCAGCAATAGCCTCCCAATGCTTCTGTATTTTTCAATTATTTGGTCTACCAGACCTAATCTCAATTGTAAATGACAGGATAACTTGTTAAATGTTGGTCACCTCTGTCAATACCATTCATAGAATTATTATAATCACTGCCGGGGATTTAGTTCAGTGATTCTGCCACCTGTCCCGCAAGAGCAAGGACCAGAGTTCGATCTCCAGTACCGAAAAGACAAAAAAAAAAAAAGGTTGTAATCAAATTATAACCATTGACCATTATTAGAATCCTTAAAGTTTTGTTTCTTTAAAGATCTATCATTTCTGTATTATGAATAGCTGACAAGGAAATGTCTTTTCATTGCATAAGTTTTCCTCTCTGATGGGCTAACATTTCTCCCTTTTTCAGTTTTTTCTTTTGCAGGTCTTTTGGCACTAGTGCTTGTTTCAGCAGCACATATACTAAAATTGGAACAATCTCTCGGCACTTCTTTCCTATTCAGACTCAGTGTCCCAAACGTGTCCATCTTGTATTGTAAAATAGTATCAGAGTCCTGGAGAAGTATAAAAATTGTCTGTAATAAGACAATGTCCCATGTTGAAAAGTGGTTTCATCAAGAGTCAAAACAATTTGTGTACCCATGTAACAATCTTTATAGATGTTATCAAGTACTGTGCACTTTCCAGTGTAAATTAAGACCACATATCCAGATTTGGATTCACAGAACATGTAAGATTTGGTACCAAATGTAGCTCTTTTTAGAGGGATAAACTGAATCCATTCAAATTGACCCTTATGTAGCATTAAACTTTCACCAGTTGTGATAATCTCTCTCAAGTGTAAGTGCAGTAGAAAACTTTTTATTGAGATGTTCAACAGTTGGCCATAACTTAAAGATTCGAGTAGCACTGAGTTATCTACAAAATGAATATAATATGTTTCAATAAAGTAAAACATTTACGACATCACTTCACTGAAAAAAAGGTGTTTCAATGCAATCTTTCTTAGACCAATACCACTCACGTATTGGCTTACATATAATTCCTTACAGACTATGGAGAGCAAAAAAAAAAAAAAAAATCTGTATTACCTGTTCGTTTTGAGTCCAAGTGTAAAAATTTCTCTAAAATCCCAGAAGGCTTTGATCTGCATGTTGGTTTCTATTGTAGTCAACTACATTATTTTAGAATTCTAGAAATATTCGAAGTAATTTAAACTATCTGGCTCCGTATCATGTCTAAATGACAAATTTATACTAGGTGTACTGGTGCACAGAAACTTAGGCAGAGTAGGGATTGGATTTTCCAAATTAACCTCAACAAATTCTCTGAATGGTGTGAAGCTTCAGTCTCTGAATGAAACTCCTCTGATAATTCTGAAAAATCATCTTCAGGTTCACTATGACTTCCTGATTCATTAATTAACAGTTCTTCATCAGTACTGTCTTCTGATTCAAACATTTTAGGTGGTAACTAAAATGCAGAAAAATTTTAAAATGATTATGTATCACAAGATGGAATAATATAAATGACCGTATTATTGTAAAAGAGTAAAAGTAACAAAAATACATCTAATGTATATATAATCTTTATAGGTCATACCACAAAATTAGATTTTGCACAAATATAACATAAATAAAATAATCACAACTTACTAGATTTCACTTGAAATAAACATCAAAGGCAAATACATTCTAAATAAAAAGTATGAAAGATAGTCGATATAAAATAAACAAACATGAACATATCTTGTGCAAATACGAATTAACTGGTTGAAATGACACCTGCCCAAGCGATGCTTGAGGTAAAATGTGAAGCGATAGCTGCAAGGTTGGTGATGTACACCTGGGAGGCTAAAACAGGAGGATTACTGAGTTCAAAGCCAGCCTGAACTACATAGACACTCTCAAAAAAAACCCAAAGTTAAGTGATTAATGTGCACCTAGAATTCACTGCTCTGCTCTGTGATCCCCATTTTCACGTTTTCTTTTTTTTTTTTTGGTACCGGGGATCAAACTCAGGACCTTGTGCTTTCGAGGCAGGTGGTGGAACCACTGAGCTAAATTCCCAGCCACATCTTCTAATCATACCCAATTTTACTTCCAGCATTGTCATTTTTTGTGTCTTTGTTGTTGTCATCTTTGATCACTTCCTAGTGATTATCATCCACTTCTGTGAACTGTCATGTGATTTTCATCTCTATTAGACAAGGAGGCAACAAGTCCACTCTGCTATGTTTGTGAGCTAAGTAACAGACACTCAATAAGGACCAATCAATCACCAGCAGCAGCGCGAGTCATGTAATAGGTCACTGTTCATAATGCACATCTTTTATTTGTGGAATGACTGTGAACTGAAGAGCTAGCAACAAAGTTTATGTGTTTTTTCAGTTAAAACTTACAATTGTGTTTTCAGCCATGTTGTTGGGGGACTGGTATTATTTAACTAAATGGTGGTGAATGAAACTCATGCACCCTGAGTTTGAAGCTAGCCTGAACTACATAGTGAGATCATGTCTCAAGAAACAAACAAAGCCTAATTAATGACAGAATTGGATTCCCACTTTCCTATCATTTTTCAATCTACCATTCTTCTTAATTATAGAATAGCCATCTGTTGGCAGATGTATTTATAGAATACCAAATAGTAAATAAAGTTAATTTCTCAAAGATGATTGCTAAGAATTTCTGGGGTTGAAAGGATGACAATTCTAAGATATGATGACCAAAATTAAAAATTTCTTATTTTACCTTCTCCAATTATCTTTCCTGAATCAAACCTATTAATTTGTAAAACCATCCTGGAGATATTTATTAATCACATTTTTAATTTTGGTTTTTGAGACAGTCTTGCTATGTAGTTCAGGTTAGTCTTGAACTATGTAGCCTAGACATTTGCCTGCCTCAGCCTCCCAAGTGTTGGGATTGCAGGTGTGTACTACTACTCCCAGCTTGTTTTTTTACTTTAAAAGCTGAAAGAATAAAACAGTGTTTCACTCAGAGTACAATATCCAAATTATGCTCAAATAAATGCCAACTTTTTGTTCAAGTCTGACCCTTGCTGTGCTCTTTTTTATAAACTAATAGATTATAAACACCTTGCTGCTACAAGTGTAGCTCAGTGCCTGAGGTTGAGGCCCTGGGTTCAATCCCCAACACTGGAAAGCCTTACCTTAATAATCTTCAAATTCTTGATCAAATAAATCTGACAAATGTTCTTTGAAAAAAACAACTTCTTGGGCCGGGGATTTAGCTCAGTGGTTCTGGCGCCTGCCTTGAAACCGGAAGCGGAAGGTCCCAAGTTCGATCCCCGGTACCAAAAAAAAAAAACAACTTCCATTTTATTCCTAAGAAGAAAAACATTCAGACAGGGAAATTAGTGTACAGAAAATTTATCAGCAATAAGTCTCATAATTTTCTCTTATGTCCTCATCCACATACATTAATCACAACAAGTCATGATGTGAACAGCAGTGGAAAGTTTAATCATTGGACATTTGTACTTTCAGCTTATTTTGAAGCTCTATTCAGTTTTTCTTTTTCATTGTTTTGCCTTGTAAAAAACATGTGATGCATTTTTATGAACTTCAAATCTTTAATGCACAACATAGGTAAGACCTCCAGTTTCACTATATTTAGAAAAAAACTCAGGGTGAAGATCATCTCAAATGTATCACTATCTGTTTTGTACATTTATGCTGTGAAGTCATCTTTGCAGCACCCAGCCTGATATAAAAAGATAACTATAATAAAGAAGTAGTTATTCTTTGCTTTATATGCAATGCTTACTTTTGGAATTAGACAAGATTTCCAACTATTAGAAGAATTAAGACTTTAAAGGAAAAGAAGTAGGATTATTTCTATTATAATAATGACCTTGACATCAGTGATGAAAAGAACAAAACTCAAGATCTCATTAGTCAGGCACAGTGACACACACCTGTAATCCCAGCACTCTGGAAGGCTGGGACAGGAGAACATCAAGTTTGAGACCAGTCTGGTCAACTTAGTGAGACTCTGTCTCAAAAGGTTTTTTTTTGGTACCAGGGATCGAACTCGGGTGTCTCAGGATTTTTAAAAAACAGATTGGGCATACAGCTCAGTATGAAGGCCCTGGGTTCAATTCCCAGTCCTATGAAACCAAAACCACAAGTCTCAGGTAGTAATTAGTATTATACAAATTAGGGACATTCTGTTTCCATGGCACTTTCCAAATTTTGTTGATGAGGATCAGAGACCCACACAGAGGAGAAAAAAAGCAACAGGAAGAAAAGAAAGTATTGAGTAAAATGTACTCATCATATTGGATAAAAAAAAAATCGAGTTTGAGGGAAAAGGTCTGAGTGCTTCAGTGAACCTTCAGTCCATCCATGGCATTCATCTGTGTAACTGCATAAGTAACTGGAGTTTATTAGTTGGAAAACTCTGAACAGAAGGTTCAACCTTTCCAGGTTATTTTCACCCCAGAAAATAACAGGCATAGGGATACTAGAATTCTACTTATAGTTTAGTTCCATTCAGCTTCTCCAAATACTTCCTAGAAGAATTAAAAGGCTTTAAGAGCCAGGGGTAGCAGTGCATACCTATAATCCCAGCATTTAGGAGACTGAGGCAGGAAGAGCTCCGAGAGTTTGAGGCCAGCATGAGTTACAGTGAGATTAGGGCCAGCCTTGATCTCATAGCAAGACCCTGTCTCAACATCAAACACATAGACACACAAACTCCAACATAGAGAACCCTATTTAAAAAAAAAAAAAGGCAATTAGTGTGGTAGCCAGGCTCTAAGATGGCCCCCAGTGACCCACCCCACCACCTCCTGGTATTCACCCTGGTGCCCATTTCCTCCTGCAGTGCACTAACACCATGAACTGGAATAAGGCAGGTGTGATGGTACAGTCTTCCTAGACCAACTGTCAAGTTTCCAAAGACAGACTTCTAATTGGCCCTTTTCTCCAAGAAAGGCAGACGCTGGCTTCAAAGACACTCAGCCTATCAAGAGGTTCACATAGCAGAGAATTCATTTTTTTTTTTTGGTACCAGAGGTTGAACTCAGGATCTTGCACTTTCGAGGCAGGTGGCAGCAACACTGAGCTAAATCCCCAGCCCAGGAACTCAATTCTTTAGATGACAGCCAGCAAGGAACTGAGGCTGCCAGGCAAGACAGTTTAGAGGTGACACCTCCCTCCCAAGTCTAGTCTTCAGCTGACTATGACCCTATGTGACCACCCTGAGTGAGAACCATCCAGCCTTATGCCCAGATTCTTGAGTCACAGAAACTGTCAAATAGTATTTGTTGTTTTAATTTACTAATATTAACTAATAGAAAGGCTGAATCCATATCCCCGTTCACAAAGTAAAATATACAACTTCTGAATTCAGTGAAAATTTGGGACTGTTTTTAAATCTGGTCACCAAAATTTCAACACCTCAAGGTCTTGTGCAACAAAAGCTCAAAGAATGAAAACTTCAGCAAAGTATGAATCAGTTATAACAAGAGCAAATGAAAAGTTCTAGTAGACAAGCCATCTGACAAAAGGGTTTATGTGAAACAAGCAAAGATACTAATCCTAGAAAGCAAAAAGTCTATTGGGAGAAGTAGTGTTTGAAAATCCTGTCACTGGGTGTGGTGGCACCCGCCTGTGATCCCAGCACTCCGGAGGCTGGGACCATGAGATTGCAAAGGATGGGCTCTGCCAGCCTGGAAGTGCAAGGCCATCCTTTCAAAAAGTTATTTAAAAACCCTGTAACTGGTCAATAAGCACTAGTTGTTCTTACTCTTTCCCAAGTGGCCCACTGAAATATACCATGAAATAGGTAATCTGATTTCACTAAAGCCTTTACAAATTCAATTTTTACTGGAAACAATCCTTCATTTCCAAGTCACTGCTATAGTTCCAGGAATACTTAATACATTTAACAGAGAAAGACGATACACTACCTTTCCTGCATATTTTAAAGAATTATCTTCCAAGTTCCACATCTTTTCCCAGCATCTTCAAAAGTGTAATTCCTAAAAAAGATATTTTCCTTTAAAATTATTTGTGCAATGGTCAATGCCCTTGGCAGTAACACTACCTTTAGTAAAGCTTACATATCCTCATTTAAGTACTCAATAATCACAATGGTTCATTATGTGAACAGCAGTGAAAAGGTTTAATCACTGGATATGAAGTTACTGGAGGAAGCAGATACAGTATATAATCAAATAATCAAATTGAGAACCTCAATGTCACCGATAAAGCAAAGTAACCCAAAAAAGGAACAAAAACATTCTATTGTCTCCTGTCCTAAGTACTCAAAGAATATCTATAGCAGGGACCCCTTCTGACTTCCAGAGTTGGATATTTAACAGGTCTATCCAATGATGGTGAATTTTTTATAGCTTTCAATGACACAAATAGCCTGCTGCAGGCACGTGTCCCACAGGTTGTCCAGCACTGCTCTATGCCATTTAAATAAATCTACTCCGCTGAAAACCAGTTCTCAATAACTCACTTACAATTAACTAGAAGAATGTTGTCAGGCTGGGTACAGTGGTGCACTCTTATAATGTTGCTACCTCCCAGACTGTCTCAAAAAGTACTGGGGACATAGCTCAGTTCCAGAGTCCTTGCCTAGTATGTGCAATACCAGGTTAGGTATATAATAAAAATTTATATCCACAGAACAATCTTTATATTAATATTCACAGTACTATTTGATAGAGACTAAAAAAATCCAAATGTTCACCAACCAATGAATGAATAAAACGTGGTATCCCTCTCTAATGGAGTAAATCCAAGAATACATTAAATACCAGCATACATTAAACATGAACTCTTAAAACATCTGCTGAGTAACAGACGCCAGTCGCAAAATTCCATGTATTAGTTTATGACTAAGTCTGTAATAAGTACCAATAACAAGCAAATACACAGACAGAAAGTAAATCAGCTGTGTCCAGGGACTGCAAAGAGGGAGCTACTAAGAAAGCTTCTTTTTGGGATGGTGAAAAACGTTCTGAAATTGGCCAGCCCCATGTGCCCGGTCTCGGAAGTCTAAGATTAGACAAATTTGAGTTCCAGTTCAAGACGAGCCTGGGGAACAACATAGTGGGAGCTCATCTCAAAAACAAATTACTTCTAAAATTGATTGGGACGACTCTTCTCAAATCTAATCATATACTAAAACCCACTGAACTTTAAATCACTAATTGTACGGTTCTAAGAACTATAAACAAAACTGTTATAAAAATATAAGACAAGTGTGGTGGTGGAAGCCTGCAATCCCAAGCTCTGCGTTGAGGCAGCTGGATAGCAAGGTGATCCCCTGCGTGGGCCACTTAACTGACTTAGCTAATTTTCAAACTAAAAAAAAAAAAAAAAAAGCCTAGGGATGCAGCTCTGTGCAAAGGTCCCCGGGTTCAAAACCCAGCGGCCCGCCCCGCCCCGAAGCAAGCCACCTGTTTTTAATTCACAGAATTTTAACCCACGTCCTTTTCTCAGCTGTCCGTTTTAACAGCCAAGCAAACATTTGCCCAGCAGCTCGCCCAGGGACCAATGTTTTTCCCCAAGGTTCCAAGATGTATTTCTAAAAATTGCGTACAAAAACAATAAAGGTATTGGTATTGCTGGCACTTACATACTTGATGGTACATATAGAAATAGTTTTTTGCCCGGCGTGGTGGCGCACAACTATAATCCCAGCACTTGGGAGGCTGAGGCTGTAAGGATCGCCACGAGTTCGAGGCAAGCCAGGGCTACATCGTGAAGTCAAAGGCAACCTGAAATATAGAGAGACGATGTCTCAAATAAATAAATAAACAAAACAAAACTTCAATTCGACCTCCTTTCCGATCTCTATAACTACACTTACCTTACCCGATTTCCCTCATTTCTCCCACCGCGGCAAGGCTCGCTGGATTAACAATCGGTGCATCCTCCGGCTCCTCTGGAATCACAGACATGTCGCCAACCACGCCAACAGCTCCTCTATCACTCTCCCGTAGAGCGCTGCAAGATAAAACACAAGGAAGCGATTCTCATCTCCGCAAATCATTCACTTCGGCCCGACTGCCTTCTACATTTCTTAGGCCTCGAGTTTTATTCCTCCTCCTCCATCCTTTCCTCCCTTTAAGCTCCAGTCAGTCTCAAGCTGCCAGAGCCCCACCCGCATGCCCCGCATTCGCCTCACTTCTGATTCTGCCTCTCCCTGTTCCAGATTTTCACGCTCGGCCTCATGGAAAGCGCGATGGCGCCGGATAGACACAAACCGAAATCACCGGAAGAAAAGGAGCCCCATCATACAGTACCTGCCACGCTGCTGGCGAACCCTGAAGAGGCGCTTCACGGGCGGGGCTCCGTGAACCAGCCTTTCCGATTGGCTGTCGCTACACAACGTGACCTATGATTGGCTAGGACGTCGAACTCGGAGAGGCGGAGCTCCGGACCTCTAAAGCCCGCCTTCCTTAATAAATACAGCTCGTAGCATCCCAGTCAGCCGGCGGAACTGACTTTATGGTGGCTCAAGCAGTCGCGGGAACCTCGAAGGTGGAACCCCACGTAACGAGATGACCCGAAGCTGCTCTGCAGTGGGCTGCAGCACCCGTGACACCGTGCTGAGCCGCGAGCGCGGCCTCTCCTTCCACCAGTGCGTGTGAGAGCAGCCTCGGAGCCACAAACTCCACGGAGGGCCTGGCGGCTGCAGGGCCCGAGCGTAATGGGCGGGGTGTCGAGCCGTCCGTGTGACGTGCTAGCGTAGGGCGGGGAGTGGAAGTGGGGGCCCCAAATTAGGGTACTTCTGGCGCCCCTCGCTTAGTGGCGACGTACAGGTTAAGTATTCTGAGCGCTGTCTCCTGACACTGCTTTTTTAGTGGCCTTGAGGTTCCTTTAGCGGAGTCCTGATAAGCTGTGGTGGTCTTGGGGTCTAACTGGAGGCGTCCGGAAGACAAGGCAGTAGAGTGATGGTACGCGTTGTGCCTCCATGGTGGAGCTTAGTTTCTTCGGATGCAGGAGTATGGATCCGTTTTCGTTACTACTGCCTAACATTGCAGATTGCTTGCTCACAGTCGAGATCGACAAGACCGGTCTGATTCTGGGTAGATCTGGTCTTGGCAAGGAAGTTTCATCTGACTCAAGAGTGGGGTAGAATTTGAGATCCGTCTAATCTGAACTCACGGTACTCACTCACTGGTGTAGGTAATTCAAGTCCAGTGTTAGAGGCTGGAAAGTAGAGAAGAGGATAGAATTGATTCTCACACAAAAGAGGGGCACAACCAAAGAGGTAGACTGGCAAGATGTTGGTATGATTAGAGTTAAGCCAAGAAGAAGCACTTCTATGAGAAGAAACAAAGACTCAAGGGCGGGAGTAGGAGGAGGTGGCACTTAAGTAGGAATTGTGTGGAAAACGCAGATAAAATGTAGAGGAGTGAAACATACGTTGGAGACAAATTACAAAATTTTGAATGCCAGGTTAAGGAGTTTCGATCTTGTGTGGCTGTCTTTGCAAGTCATTGATTTTTTTTTTTTTAATAAATGAGGCTGATCCCTGAACATAAGCTATTATAATTGTGTTCTTGCTTGTCTCCTCCGAGACTTACTCCTCAATTATGTAGTTCTCTTTGTTATTTTATTGATGGATTGGTACTGGAACTTGAACCCAGGACCTTCTCACTGCGCTACTATAAGTCACTAAATTGCTCAGGGCTGCAGATTTATGATCCTCCTAGTCTCAGTCTCAGAATGCTAGGATTACCCCCATCTACCAGCCAATTTTTTATGGTTCCTTGGATGGTTAGAAATTATACCTATTCTGTGTAAAAGCTGCTTTGCAAATAAATGCCATTAATTAAGAGAGCGCAGTGAAATGAAGTAGATTTGCCTCACCTTTATTGGCAAAGCAATTTCCTGTCCTCTTGATCAAGTATCATGACCTTCCTTAGGAAAAAACAAATTTTGGTTAGTACTTTACAGTTTAAAAAGTGCTTTTGAGAGTCAGGTGTGGGGGTGCACACCTGTAATCCCAACACTAGAGAGACTGAGGTGGGAGTCTTGCTGTTAGTTAAGGCCAGCCTGGGCTACATAGTGAGTTGAAGGCCAGCCTGAACTGCATAGGGAGACCCTGTCTCAACCCACCCCCACCTCAAAGTCTTGAGTACATTCATAGCCTCATGTATTTTTACTGTAGCCCTGTGCTGAGTTCAGTGATGGGGATATGTGTCTAAACCATGCAGCTGGTAAAAGTTCATTCAGGCTTAGGATACAGGCTTTGCAATTCTATATTTTCTCAAAGTGATTGAAAGTAGAATTATGTTTAACCATGGTCCCACAGTTTTGTTTTGTTTTTTTCTACTGAGAATTGAATCCTGGGACCTTCACACTGAGCTACCTATCCCGCCCTTTTAAAAAATCTTTTTGAGGCAGGGTCTGAATTGCCCAGGCTGGGCTTGAACTTGGATTTCTCCTGTCTCAGCCTTCCTAGAATGCCAGGATTACATTACAGGCATATATCACCACACCCAGCTTGGGGTTTTTTGTTTTGTTTTTTGAGACAGTATGTTCAGACTGCCCTTCAATTCATATCCTAGGCTGGCCTTGAACTCATTGCAGTGCCTCAGCCTCCCAAGTGCTGGGATTACAGGCATGTATCACTATGCCTGGCCACACGCAGCTTGTTTGACTATATATATATTTTTAAAGCAGGATCTCACTATGTATACCAGGCTGGCCTTGAATCCGTGGTGATCCTCCTGCTTCAGTCTCCTAAAGTGCTGGGATTGCAGGTGTGAGCCACCACACCCAGCTGTTTTACCACACTCTTAAACTTCTCTTTCCAGGCTTGAGGCCTACCTAAACTACAAAGCCAGACCCTGTCTCAAAACAACAACAATAAAGAGTAACTCCTAAAACCTTTGGGTAGAGGCTTCAGTTTTTCCCAAAGAGATCTCTTAGGACTGCTTATACTTGGTAGGTAACTTCTCCCTACCAAGCCATTCAGTTGAAAAAGCAAGAAGAAAGTCTCTATGCCTTTTGTGACCTGGTGTCTGGCCACTTCTGCTTTTTCCAGCACATACACAAGTCGAGGGATATTAGACTCCACTTCCTTAAAGGTCAAGTACAGGTACCAAAAACCTGTGACCTAGTTTAAAATCACCACAAGCAAGGGAAAGGGGCATTTATTTAAATTGGAACAGAATCCCTTAAGTATAGGCAGTGAACAACCTGTGGTAGGATATTTAATATGAGAATGCCCCCCATCTGGTTTCAAACAATTACTTAAAATATTGAACTTTTGGACTAAAAAAAAAATTTAAAACCTGATGAAGTTTTACTAGGCTTTATGTTTGCATATAGCGGTTGATGAATAATTTTATGTAATTATTACCATAGTGTTATCATAGTATTTTCATGGTAATGGAACTTTACTCTGGTTGCCTTAGATTTCCAACTGATACCATACAGCGCTCAAAATGGATCAGGGCTGTCAACCGTGTGGACCCCAGAAGCAAAAAGATTTGGATTCCAGGACCAGGTGCTATACTGTGTTCCAGGCATTTTCAAAAATGTGACTTTGAGTCATATGGTGTAAGAAGAAAGCTGAAAAAAGGAGCTGTGCCCTCACTTTCTCTATGCAAGGTACTTAAATCTAGATGCAAACAGAACTAAATTGCACACAGCCTTTAAAACTCATGGCAGTTCACATTACAGTTAGAATTTGCAGAGATGAGACAATCCCAAGGTTTAAAATAGATACAATAATGGATTTAAAATGCTTTAAAAGTTAAGTGGTTTTTTTTAATGTATATATAATGTTACCATTCTGCCGTCAAGCTTTTACAAAAAGTATAATCGCCAAAAACCAACTAGTAAATATAAATGGCCTTAGAATTCAGGCTTTTGTTAAATATGAGCCAATTTTCGTAATACTTTGACATTATCTTTTTTTGGCTCCTAATAATGTTACTAATGTTAACCAAAAATATGCCAAATTATTAGCATTGATATAAGAAAAAATATATGGCAAATGAGATTTCTAGAGTGATCATTCATATTGGTATTGCATACTTGTTTCTTTTGATTATGTCTATTGTTTTACCTAACCACAGTTCTTTTTTTTTTTTTTTTTTTTGGTATCGAGGATCGAACTCAGGTCTTTGCACTTGTGCAGCAGGTGGCAAAACCACTGAGCTACATCCCCGGCCCGTTCTTGAATGTGGCTTTCACTGTCCACACAGCCCATGACAGTCAACTAAGTGTTCTGACCGTAGCCTTCCTTACTGTAATTCATTGGAGTCTCCTTTCAGGATTGTGTTATTTCATCCCCCCATTCAAAGCCTGCATAGTTGGTGTCAAATTCAAATTTATGCGCTCTGTGAGCTTCCCATTAATTGTTCTTTGCACCTCTAACTACCCTAAATTTAATTTTCACATCACATTTATTTACTTTATATGCTGACCCACTTTTATGCTTTTGTGTAAAACCAGTAATAGTTACTTTTTATGAGACCTAAAATGGCCTAGGCATTCTACTAGAAGATTTACATAAATATTTTATTGTATTCTCAAAACAATCTTCATTTTACAGGTGAGGAGGTGAGGGATTATAGCGTTTAAATTAAATGACAGCTAATAAGTAAGAGGACAAGAATTCAAATCCAGTCAGTCTTACCTCCAAAGCCCATGCTGTATCCATTTCTTCTTTTTTCCACAGATAATTTCCCTGTCCTTTCCATTAAACCATGTTATTGTCCCTTCAAAGGACTACTCAAACTCAGTTCCAGGAAGTTTTCCCAAATTACTACCACATTCCCCTCCCCCTTCTTTTTTGGACACTGGGGAATGAATCCTAGGACTTTGCCCTGAGCTACAAACCCCAACCCTTTTTATTTTTTGAGACAGGATTTGCACTAAGTGCTTCGGCAGAACTTGAACTTGAGCTTCTCCTGCTTCAGCCTCCCAAAGTACTGAGACTACAAGTATGCACCTCTATGTACAGCCCTTCTGGTTATATGAATCATTTCTGAAACTTTTAGCATCACATTAGTATTTCTGGATAGATGTAAGCAAAAGACAAAAAACTGTTTATATAGTCCTAAAGACTATGTATTTTTTTTTTTTTTTTGGTACCAGGGATTGAACTCAGGACCTTGTGCTTGCTAGGCAGGCGGCAGAACCTCTGAGCTAAATCCCCAGCCCTGTATTTTAAGAGTTTATGATTTTTTTCTTTCATATCTAACTCCACAGCAACCAAGTGAGTGCTTTCTATTCAGTAGTATTTATAGATAATCTCCTATGGGATGATTTCTAAAATAACCGTAATTTTCTATTTCTGTCACAGGTTCCTCAAGGTGTACGTCTTACAGGTAAAGCAAGTCAGAACATCCAAAAACAACCACTTCCAGATGATTCTGAGGAGGTTGCTACTGAAGACCATAACTATAGTTTAAGAAATCCCTGGACAGTAGGTGCAGAGAAACTGGCTGAGGTGCAACAAATGTTACAAATGTCCCAAAAAAGAATAGTCACTGTCAAAAACTACAGGATGATCAAGAGGAGGAAAGGCTTGCAATTAATTGATGCGCTTGTAGAAGAAAAACTACTTTCTGAAGAAACAGAGTGTCTGCTTCGAGCACAGTTTTCAGGTACCCCCCCCCCCACAGTGGCCGGTAATATTTACAAAATGGCTCTTTATTTTTCCATTAAACCTTTACTTTGACATTGCCTATGAAAACATGGTTTCAGCTGGGAAGGAAAAAGTCTCAGCATAAGCAAGAGTAAAGAGTAAAAGTTCTTTACACCAAAGTCCTTTTGTGATCTCTTGGTCTTCCAGTTATAAAAGGAACAAGTTTAATATAGAAAAAGCAAAGAAATATTTAAACAGTGAAAGTAATGCATAATCCCATTATCCAGAAATGAGATCGTGTCCAATTTTCCTTACTTTTCCTTTTGAGTATAGTTCCAACCCCTGCTACTACAAATTCTTCATAGTTTTAATTGCTGCATAATTTATTACCAGTGTTTTGTTGCAATAAGGTGGAACTAGATGATCTGCAGTTTTTATTTATTTGTTTGTTTATTTTTGGAGTCAGAATGTCCCCATGTAGCTCAGGCCAGGCTCAAACTTGCTATGTAACCAGCTGGCCTCAAACTCTTGCCTCAGTCTTCTCAAGTGCTGAGATTACAGATATGTGCGCCCATATCCAGCTCTGCAAAATCTCTGAGTTTGGAGGTTTTATAAGTCTTTTTTTATTCCTGAAATGTTCTGTAGAATTGATATAGATGGGGAGTTCTTCAGACTCCTAAATGCCTATAGGGAGAACGACAGGGAATAAAAGAAAGAGACAGGCACAGCATACAATTTTCTTTTTTTTTTGGTATGGGGATCAAACTCAGGACCTTGAGCTTGCAAGGCAGGTGGTGGAACCACTGAGCTAAATCCCGGGACCAACAGTATACAATTTTCAATGGGAGATTGGAAGGAAACTCTAGTGGACTGGCTTTCCTGAACTCCGGGGAGGGTCTGCTTTTCTTATTCATCAAGAATGGCTGGGGAGGGTGTAGAGTAGCAAGACCAGAACCAAGTTTAGCATGTCAAAGGAAAAAATTAAGGTCCTTTGGAACACTTGTCTGCATAATTTTTGTCTTCTGTAGGAGTTATCTTGTCTTCGGAGTGCTTTGTTTATGGCTTTCCACACAGCCAGAAACTTCTCTGATCTGGCCGCTCACTTATCTATGGATATCATGGCTGGTCCACTACAGATATGGAAAGACTATTTAGATCTCTGTGTCAACCAGGAAAAAGGACACAATAAGAATTGCCAGTTTATTCTTTGATGAAAACAGCAGATTTTTTAAACTTATTTTTGGGAAAATAAAAGCATCCCCATTCCTAGAAAATAGTCATTATCTCCAAACGGGGAGACTTTTCACCAGAGGAGAACAGAATAATGAGTAAGGGTCCCCGCAGAAACAGGGCAGATGGTCTATTAAACCTGAATAGCATCCTTTTCCCAAAAATGTTTCTCATATCTAATTTTCATACTCATAAATAGTAATGAGAAAACAAAAGGAAAAATGTCCTTGTAATTCAGATTTAATTTTTTAATTATTTCAGTTTCTTCCCTTCTAAAATTCTCCAGTAAGGCTGCCAGTAAATAAACATGATTCAAGGTGAAAATTTTTTTTTCTTTCCTATCGCTAATGAATTATTCAGGGAAGATTGGTCAGGGGGACTTAAGTGGACATTAACCTCAAGTAAAATGTGACATGTTCAGTCGATTTATATCCAGACATACTGTGATCCATACCTGAAAATGTTACTATTCACATTTTTCATTATAAAAATAATTTCTTTTAACAGATTTTAAGTGGGACTTGTATAACTGGAAAGAAACATCTGAGTACTCCACGGAAATGAAACAGTTTGCATGCATGCTGTACTTGTGCAGCAGCAAAGTTTATGACTATGTAAGAAAGATTCTTAAGCTGCCTCATTCTTCCATCCTCAGAACGTAAGTGATGTTAAATGAAACAAATATTTTGTTCTCCTGTTGCATTTTTTACTTTAAGAGTGTTAGCACTCATTCTCATTAATTAGTGCATTTCCTCCTTTTAAAAACTTCTAGGTGGTATTTACATATTATCACAACAGCAATACTTTCACAAACAAAATGAAGACATATTCATTGCCTGATACATTTTTACATTTCTGAAATGTTAAAGATGCTCAGGGGTGTAAAATTTCAATTCTGCAGTAGTGATATTTCTGATACACTTCACTAATTCTAATGTTACTGTCCAGAAACATCTAGAACAGTTCTGGATTGACAGCCAGTGGTCTGAAGCAAAGCACAGAAATCTTCATTGCTTGTAAGCACTGCATTTGATGCAATGGAAGTACCTGGTCCAGGGACCAGATTTTGATAAATAGATTTCGGGATTTCTGGCCCAATACAGATACATTTACAAATCTCAATGTGAAGCAAATAACACAGAGACTTTCTAGTAGTAATGTCTTTTAAATTTAATGATTTAAATTTATAAATTTACCCCCCCCAAGAGCCTCAAACATGCTAGGCAGGCACCTACCACTGAGCTATATCCCTACTCCTTTTATTGTTTAATTGTGAGACAGAGTCTTCACTAAGTTGCTAAGGCTGGCTTTGAACTAACAATCCTCCTGCCTCAGCCTCTTGTAGCTAAGATTCTCCACTGTTCCCCACTAACCTTTACTCTTTCTACCACTCGTTTTACAGACTCCTTTTTAAAAAAAATTTTTTTTTTTTTTAGACAGGGTCTTCCTAAACTGCTAACTTGCCGAGGCTATGGTTGAATATGTGATCCTCCTACCTAAGCCTCCTAGAGTGCTGGGATTACAGGAGTGCACTACCAAACTTGATTACAGATAAGTTTTAATAGCTGCATAATATCGGGTAGTCCTACCCTTCTCAACCCTTCTCCAGCTATTGAACATTGATATTGTTTTCCACTTTTTTATTACACTTGCTACTTCCTGTCTTGAGATGAGTATGTGTGTAAAAGATTACTCTTTCATAATTTGTTTTGCCATTCAAACTAGTATTATACTTATTTACAGTGTCCATCTGCTAAGCATGAGATGTTTTTATAGAAACGGCATTGATATTTCTTTTCCTACACCTTTGTTGGCTGTCTTCTGTGGTAGTTTTATTTAAAGTATCACTGGTTTCCCACTATGGTTTATGTAAAGGCTTCTCATCTTTATTTTCCCAGAATTTTCTTCATTTCCTGAAGTTCCCTGTCAATTCCTAGTTAGATAAAAACTTGCCTGCAGAATCAAACTCACACTTAACTTTTCTCATGTTTGCTCTTCGTAATCTCTGTTGTGATATTGTGTTTGGGTTTATAATTCCAGTGCTCACATGGTTGTTTGTTTGGGTACTTTGGCTGTAACTAAGGTACATTTTTAAGATTGCAGTAATATATGCTTATTATAAAATTTTCAAATGATATGTAAGTATATGAATACCAAAGATGAAAAACACTTTTAACCTTTCCCTTCCCCTAGTTCCACAAGATAACTACTATGAGCAGCTTGGTATGTAACATATCCTCCAGACTTTGATGCTCAGGGTGGAATCCAGTGCCTCATGCATGCTAGGCAAGCACTTTTACCACTAAGCTATATCCCTAGCTCCAAGCTTTTTGATCTGTTCATCTATCAACAAAAATTTGTTTTGATAGCTATATTTTCTTACATATTAAGGATACTGAGATTTTAACCAAAAGAATCTGAATGGTCAAACGTATTTGTTTTTTGGTTATAACGCATTTAAAACTTAGATCTGTTTTTAACACAGCTATGCTTAAGTATTAGATCTGTGTAATCATATTTGATAATTATTCAATAAATATTTATTGATCAAGAGCGTCCAGTGAGGCAGGAGGAAAACCAGGAGATTGTGATGGCCTTGAAAGCCAAGTATAGAAAGTTTTTCAAGGAGGGAATAGTGCACTATGTCAAATGCTGCTGGGAGATCAAGTAAGATGAGGACAGAGAATTGACCCTTGGGTTATGCAAGGTGGAAGTCACTGATGACCTTGACAAAAGCAGTTACAGTGGAGCAGTGAAGAGGTAAACCTGGCTGGTGGAATCAAAAGATCGGAAAATGAAGGAACAGAAAAGTAATTATGGGCTCTTTCAGGCCGTTTTGCTATGAAAGAGAGCAGGAAAATGGGTCTCTAGGAAGAAGGAAGGGTGTTTGATTTGGCGGTGTTCCAGTGTGTTTGCATGCCCATGAGAATGATCCAGTAGAGAGACAAAAATCAGGGGATACAACAAAGGATAATTGCATGGGCTAACCTCCAACACAGTTGGGGGGGGTTCTGACTTTAGAGCAGGGATGGTCCATCAGTTGGATTGGGAAGAAAGGCAGAGATACGGACACAGATTGGGTGGAATGAAATGAGTTTTGATCAGACTGCTGCTATTTTCTCAATAAAATAAAGCTTGGCAGAGTTGAGGAGGGAGGGATTAGAAGTTTGAAGACAAAGGAGAAAATAAACATAATCAGCTCAGAGACCAGAGAAATAAATTATGCAAAAATGTAGAGCCAAATTTGTGGTCAAAATTATTAAACAGGTGGTTATTAGATGAAGACAGACCAAGCTCCAATTTTTCAGAATACATTAGGTTTGGTTAGGTAATTACCTCACTCAGTAATTCTAATTGCCACACATCTTTAATTCTTAGTTGCCTGAGACGCCTCTCAATTTTTTTTGTACTGATGTTGGGTTCTTTGTCAGTTCTCTCTGAGTTCTTTTTGTCTACAGTTTAGAGCTGTGCTGTTCATACTTTCAGGGCTTTGGGTTCCTAAAATGGTATGTTTTCACAAGTCCTTTGAAGTCATACTGTTAGAGTCTCAGCTTTCCTAGTTATACCATAATAATGATGCATTTAGTATAATGTTGGTCATAGAAAATGCCTGCACAGTTGTTCCTTGTTTGTATTTCCTGTTTCTAAGTTTCTGTGTTTGTATTCACTTCCAGTAAATTAACTTCTTCTACAGGTGATGGCTGTGAGAGAAAACACTTCCTGTAGAGGAAGTTTGGTATACTCAACATAGTGGGTCTAACCTTGCTTCCAGGCTGTTTTAAGTCAGTCACCCAGCTGACTCCCTGTAATCATTCCATGACTAAGCTACTAGATGGTAGTTACATTAGAAAGCATGTTGAATGTAAAGTAAAATTGGTATGAGCTTTCTGAAGGAAGGTTTGGAGCTTTATAAGCTTTAAATTGACCTACCCAATTATGTGCACCTGAAATCCACAATTTGTTTTTAATTTCTTATGAAAGCTGAGTTCATTTATCCTAAAACATGTACATGTACATTTTTACCTCTGCTTTCTGTTCCTAGGAATTATGTGCATAGCACAAGTATGTGTCTGTGTGAGCATACAGGTGCACACACATATCATGGCCCTGCTTACGTCTGAAAACGTGAAACAACGTACATGTCTTCCAGTGTGGTTTGGTTAGATTTTTTTATGGGTTAACTATAAGAAACTGTACAAATTGAAAATGTTTCTATATAGCTTGATAATTAAGGACATTTAAAACTACATCTTGGGCTGGGGATTTAGCTCAGTGGTTTCGCTGCCTGCTGCGCAAGCACAAGGACCCGAGTTTGATCCCCAGTACCAAAAAAAATTTTAAAAATAAAAATGCATCTATCCTGGGCCAGGGATTCATAGCTCAGTGGTTCTGCCGCCTACCTCGAAAGCTCAAGGCCCCGAGTTTGATCCCCCCGTACCAAAAAAAAACCACACCATACATCTATCCTGGGTGTGGTGGCATGTGCTTGTAATCCCAGTATTCAGGAGGCTGAGGCAGGAGAGACCACCAGCAGCAGTTCAAGGCAATCCTGGTCTGCATAGTGAGCTCAAGAGCCAGCCTAAAATACGTAGCAAAGCCCTGTCTCAAAAATAAAAAAAAAATTTTAAGACTAAAAACTTACAGAGGCATTAAGTAGTTTAAGTTTCATTATATACTTTTGGATATGAGACATTTGCGTATTTGGTGTTCATTTGAGAATCCTGATATAAAAAAATTATTGTATAAATATACATAGATTTTTGTTTGTTTGTTTTTTCCTAGTGGTGCTGGGGATGGAACCTAGGGCTTTCACACTAAGCTTCCTCCCATCCCTTTTTATTTTGAGATAGGTTCTCACTAAGTTAGCCAAGCTGGGCATGAATTTGTGATCCTCCTGCTTTGGCCTCTCAGACAGCTGGAACTACAGGCATGCACCACTGTGTTTGACTAAATTTTAAGCAAAATATCTTGGTTCACAAATGATTTGGTTTGCAAACAAAAGCATTCAACAAAATTTTGCTTCCATTCGCAAACTTCACAGTGGGTGACAAACATGATCAAAATCATAAGACAAATTAAGTTCACAAATCAAGGTACCACTGTACAATACTTGGAGTTTTTAACGTGCTAGTGAGCTATAATACCACTGTCCTGTTTTCTCATTGTCTTAATGCTTTAGTCCCATTTTAAATTACAAACAACTGATATTTTTGTCATAAATAAGCTACTTATTTATAGTCAAACTACAGCTTTTGGCATCCTAAAAATGCATTTTAAAACCATTAGTGCATGAAATCAATTTAGTATATCATAATTGCCATTAAAGAGTAAATAACATGTATATTTATATACATATACATAGATGTATATGTATATTTTGTATGTGAAAGTGCATGATATATTTTAAAGGTGAATTTTATTTATGAAATGTGTAGAATATTTAGAAAGGCAAGCCCTGAAATACTTAGCAAGGCACACTAAAATCTCAATAGCTGTTCAGGAATAAACCTTGGCTACCTAGAATATACTAAAAAATTTGGAAATTAAAGTAAAAAAAGATGCTTGAACCAAGCATAATGGTACACACCTGTAATCTGAGCACTTGGGAAGCTGAGACAGGAGGATCACTGTGAGTTCAAGGCCAGCCTAGGTTACAGAGTAAATTCAAGGCTACCTGAACTACATAGCTAGACCCTGTCTCAAAAAAGGAAAAAAAGATACTTGAATGATAACACTATTTCTGTTATAGATAAACACCTCAGTCTCTACTTCCGAATTAATTTACTGTAATTTTTTTTTTTTTTTAAGACAGGATCTCGCTATGTAGTCCAGGCTGGCCTCAAACTCGAGGGAATTCTCCTGCCTCAGCCTCCCAAGTGTTGGGATTACAGGGCATGTAGCACCACACCTGACTGTAATCTTATTTTAGAAGATCACTAAATGGCTCTTTTTGCCAGGTGTGGTCCCAGCATTCTGGGAGGCTGAGGCAGGAGGATCACAGTGAGTTTGAGGCTAGCCTGGGCTATATAGTGAGTTCAAAGCCAGCCTGAACTACATAGCAAGACCCTATTTGGAAAAAAAAAATGGCTGTTTTCTTTCTCTGGATCTACAACAAATTCAAAGGAGTAAATTGGAAGTAAGAATCATTCTGAAGACAGTAACAGCAGTAACAGGAAGTATACCAGGCAGTCCAGGAATGTCAGGGGTGCTGGGAAGAGCTCCTGAGGTGATAGTGCAGGTATGCTGTGTGAGGGTGGGAAAATGCAGACTTCTTACAGCCACTAAAGCTTTCATTTGGAGGCTACCAGGAAAACACATTGAAGCCCTGGCTATGAGGAAAGCTGAGTTCCACATTCGTTCCTACCAGCACAACAGAGGCCAAGACGCTCACCCGGTCTCTGTGTGCCTTGTAAACTGCGGTGGATGTACTAGAAGCTCTCAAGGGTTCCCACCAATTGAGTAGTTTTCTCCTTTAAGTGGATTTACAGGTAAAACTGTTTTAGGATCTACATCATAAAAGGATGAATTAGAACAAGCTGGGGGGTTGATTTGTATACTTTTTTTTAAGACAAGGTCTTGCTATGTAGTTCAGGCTGGCCTTGAATTTGCTGTGTAGCCCCAGTTGGCCTCTAACTCACTGCAGTCCTCCTGCCGTAGTCTCCTAAATGTTAGGGTTACAGGCCCATGCCACAATGCCAAGCTTGATTTGTATACTTTTTAAAGAAGGCGAAATTATGTTGTATATGTTTATGTTTAAATTATGTTGTATATGATTTCTATCTTCAAATACTGTTTTTCAGTTTCTCATTGATCTTGTTTCATTATATGAACATGTCCTTGAAAATGTGATTTGGGTGCTAGAGATGTAGCTCACTGGCATTGCACATGCCTTGCAAGCACAAGGTCCTGAGTTCAATCCCCAGTACCACAAAAAAAAAAAAGAAAGAAAGGAAGGAAGAAAATGTGATTTTGGACCTGCCCTGCAAGCGCAAGGACCCAAGTTTGATCCCTGGTACCAAAAAAAAGAAAATGTGATTTTGATATTTACAGTGGCTTTATTTCTACAGGAACTTGAGGCTACTCTGGTCCATCTAAGGTATTTTCCTTTTCATCTTTTTTATCTTTATATTTCTTCATTTATGCCTCACACTTTTTCACTTTTCGTGTTTTCTAGTTGGCTGACCAAATGCAAATCCAGTCCAGGCTTCAATAGCAACATTTTTTCTTTTCTCCAACAAAGAGTAGAGAGTGGAGACCAGCAGTATCACTATTGCTCTTTGATAATAAAAGGCATACCTCTCAAGCAGCAGCTCCAGTGGGATCCCAGCAGCCAGAGTCTGCAAGGGTTTATGGACTTTGGTCTTGGGAAACTTGATGCTGATGAAACACCACTTGCCACAGAAACTGTTTTGTTAATGGCAGTGGGTATTTTTGGTCATTGGAGAATGCCCCTTGGTTACTTTTTTGTAAACAGAGCATCTGGATACTTGCAAGCTCAGCTGCTTCGTCTGACTATTGGCAAACTGAGTGATGTAGGGGTGACCGTCCTGGCTGTTACGTCTGATGCTACAGCTCACAGTGTCCAAATGGCAAAAGCCTTGGGAATACATATGGATGGAGACAACATCAAATGCACGTTCCAGCATCCTTCGTCTTCTAGCCAACAGATTGCATACTTCTTTGATTCTTGCCATTTGTTGAAGTTAGTAAGAAATGCATTTCAGAGTTTTCAAAGCATTCAGTTCATTAATGGTACAGCACATTGGCAGCACGTTGTAGAGTTGGTACTGCTAGATGAACAGGAATTATCAAGTATACAAGGAATCCCAAGTAAACTCGCAAACTTGAAAAATCATGTACTGAAAATGAATTGTGCTGCCCAACTCTTTAGTGAGAGTGTAGCCAGAGCATTAGAATATTTGTTGTCATTAGGTCTGCTTCCTTTTCAAAACTGTATCGGTACCATTCATTTTTTGCGCTTAATTAGCAATCTGTTTGACATTTTTAATGGTAGGAACTGTTATGGAAAGGGACTTAAAAAACCTCTATTGCCTGAAACTTTTAGTGAAATAAATCATGTATTAATTGAAGCCAAGACTATTTTTCTTACACTGTCTGACAATAGCAATAATCAGATCATTAAAGGTAAACGAAAACTAGGCTTTCTGGGATTTTTGCTTAATGGTGAGAGCTTAAAATGGCTCTACCAAAATTATGTTTCTCCAAAGGTCATGCCTTTTCCATATCTTCTGACTTATAAGTTCAGTCAGGATCATATAGAGTTATTTCTAAATATGCTTAGGCAAATGTTAGTAACCAGTTCTAGCCTTACCTGCATGGCTTTCCAGAAAGCTTACCATAACTTGGAGACCAGATACAGATTTCAAGATGAAGTTTTTCTAAGTGAAGTAAGCATCTTTGACATTTCAGTTGCTCAAAGGAAAGATTTGGCCCTTCGGACAGTTCAACATCAATATGGTGGCAGCGTTGTAAATTCTCTCTTTCACGAGGATATTTGCCACGACTGGTCTGATTGTTCCCTCAGTGAGGCGTTACTAGATTTGTCAGAGCACAGACAAAGGCTCATCTACTGCGCTGGGTATGTTGCAAATAGGTTGTCTGTTCTTTTGCTGTGTGAAGACTGCATCAGTGCGCTGTATGAGTCGGATCCCAAAGCCTCTAAAATTGGGTCACTGTTATGTGTTAAAAAGAAAAATGGCTTTCATTTTCCTTCAGAAAGCCTCTGCAGGGTCATTCATATTTGTGACCGAGTCGTAAGAACTCATTCAAGAAAAGCAATTTCTGAACTAGTTCCCAAACAGAGGGAATTGTATCTTCAACAGAAAATACTACATGAGCTTTCTGGGCATTCTTACCTTTTCATAGATTTAGATGAGCATCTCTTTGATGGAGAGGTGTGTGCCATCAATCACTTTGTAAAGTTGCTAAAGGAGATAATAATCTGTTTCTTAAATATAAGAGATCATGATGTAGCTCAGTACTCCTTAAGACATTCAGAAAAACTTGAAATGAAAGCTTCACCAAGGAAACACTGGTCATTTTTACAGGATTATGGATGTTCAAGTTTCACCAATAACAAATTCAGGCGTTTACTCCATAACAATGGGTATCCATTCAAATGAGAAACCTAAAATACATAAACATTTTTATTAAAGCTCACTTTACCATATTTTATAAATTGATCATTCCGCACAGTGAACAGTTTTGGAATTCTGATTTAATGTATATCATAAAATGTGCTCATATGGACTGCGGTGTTTATGAATTTTCCAAACTAGGAAGTAGTTAAGCGTAGCATCACACCACCACCAAAATGCTACTTTTGAAGTTCTGTAAGATTGATTCATGTGACTGAACAACTTGGAGAAAACCAAGCACCAACTCCTTTTACAAGCAACTCCTTTTTCCTAATGTAGCTTTAGTTTACAGTTCTTAAGAGCACTGAGTGCCTAGCATGGCAGTGCACGCTTGTAATTCCAGCACTGAGAAGCTGAGGCAGGAGGATCACCGTGAGTTTGAGGCCAGGCTGGGCTACATAGTGTGTTCAAGACCAGCCTGAACTACATAGACCCAGTTTCCAAAAGTATTTTTTTAACAAATATGAAAATTAAGTTGTAGTTTGAACATTAGATAAAGCAAAATATCAATTATAAAAATCCTCATGTTCCAGAGTGCCTTAAAATAGAAATACTTTGTTAGGCAGAAGGTAAATACAGAAGCTAGGAGATTGTTCCTTGTTTTGTGGCCAGACTAGGTTAGTCTGGAAGGAACAAAGATGGCATGATTTTCACTATCCTGAGTCCCCAAGCTCTATAATATTTTTTTTCTTCTGTAGTGCTGGGGATTGGACCCAGGGCCCTGCATATGCTAGACAAGCACACACTACAATTGATCTATACTCCTGACCCAAAATGCTTTTGAATAATAGATGCTGAATTTCTTATTTTTAAAGTCAGGGTCTTGTGTAATCCAAGCTGGCCTTAAACTTGCTTGTAGCCCAAGGTAGGCCTAAACTCGGGATCCTCCTGTCTCAGCCTCATGAATGCTGGGATTTCACAGAATGAATACTTGACTCCTGTTGGAACAACCCAGGGTTCAGAAATAGGGAGAAGGCTTTGAACTTCTGCTCCTTCTGAAGTGTTTGCAAGGAAACTAAAATAATGAAACATTTAGCATTGAATGAATAATGAAATAACATGGCATGTGGTTAATGAATTGGAAAAAGTGAACAATTGAGAATGAATATGAAAAATCTTATATAATGGATATTTCCAGAAATTAAGGAGTTTAAATCTGAAGATGGAAGCATACTAAGAATTTCTCCATTCTCTCACACCTACATTTGGAAAGAAATAGAAAAGCATACAGGTACGTAAGCCTTCACAAAGGGGAGTATGCTAAGGAATAAAAGAAGAAACAAATATGTTTTTGTCATTGAATGAATGTTAAGAAAGTAGTTAACCCTCAGATGAAAACTGCAGCTCAGTGGTAGAGCACTTGCTCTCTCGAGATGTGTGAGGCCCTGGATGCCATCCCTGGTATCACAAAAAACAAAATACTTAAAATTGCAAAAAAAGATTGATGAACTAAAAACTGAATATATTAATTGAAATTCCTCTTCTATTTTCATACAGCTGTTTATTCTACCTCAAAGGCTTACATTTTGAAGTGTAATCAGTGTTGTACTACATTTTGCACAAGACCTGCTGAGAGGTATGAATATTGTGCAATGTTTGTAAATCACTACCTTTAATTTATTGTTTATATAAGTCTACATTTTGTACCTGATCTTTAAAGCAAGCTTCATATCCATTGTGTCTATTCCTCTTTGCTGTTACACTTCCGTAATGGACTGATGTATTCTGTTTTTGAAGAATTTAATGTTTTTGCATTTTTAAGTGCTGGATCAATAGGGGAGATGAACACTGAAGATGAGATTGTTCCCATCACTGCCTTTAGCCCAGTTAATTGTTCTTGCACTTAGGAAAGAGTTCATGGTCTTATATCAGATTTACCTGGTATGATAGGCTTTAAAGTGAAATTACTCATTCACACTTGGTTAGCATAATTGGTTATAATTTTTATCCTTTAGTATGTCTTTTTTCTTCAGAAACGTTCTCAAAAAATTTGTACATCCTACTTTTCAACAGATAGTCCTAAGACAACTGGAAATCCACAATTAATTAAAAGTTAAGAGACCTAGATGTAAGAGATAATGCTGTAAAACTTAGATGATCATAGAGTAAAAAATCTTTGAGACATGGACTAAGTGTTGGTTTCTTAGTTAAGGCATCAAAAGCAGTAGCAACAAAAGAAAAAAGACTACCGAAAATTGAAACCCTGTGGTTCAAAACAGTATCATCAAGGAGGTGAAAGTCCATTGAGTGAAAGGAAAAATTTGCAGATCATTTACTTCATAAGGGATCTGATTCTAGAATATGCAAAGAATTAGAACTCAGTAAAAATGACAAGTAATTAAAGTTTGAGTGGGTAAAGAGTATGAAGACATTACTAAAGGAAATAGTCACATAGCCTTAAAATATGAATATATGGTCATCAGCCGTCCAGGGAATGGAATTCACAGTAAGACATCTCTTCACCCTGGCTAGGATGGCAAAGTAGAGAGGACATAAGTGCTGGTAAGAACGTAGAGAAATGTGCCCTTCATTCACTGTTGGTGGCAATGTAAAGTACTACAGAGTGAGCTTTGGGAAAAGGCCTAGTGCCTCCTCAACAGTTACCTACAGCACAGCAATGCTCCTTGGCCTGTAACCAACAGAAATGAAAGACTTCCCATAAAAATTGGCACACATTTCATCACAGCATCATAGTAGCTAAAAAATAGAAACTTAAATATCTGTTGATGAGTGAGCAAATAAAAATGCTAAATCCCTACAGAGGGTCGTAGAGTAAATGTATCTTTATTGCTAATAAAAGTACCAAAGCTGCATGATGATGACACTGTTTTACATTCTGACAGAGTATGGACTTCAATGCTCTACTTCTTTCCCAGCACTTGGTATTTTCAGGGTTTTTGGGTGGAGGACGTTTTTGTTTTTAGGTACTGGGCATGAAACCAGCTTGCACTTTGCCACTGAGCTGCATCCCACCGTTTTTTTTGTTTGTTTTTTTTTTGGTACTTGGGTT